AAACATTAGCTCATAAAACTCAACATCAGAGTATGTTTAGTTGGAAGTTTAGTGACCCAATTACAAAGAGAACCCAAGTCCAAAACAGCTATGCAATCACAATTGCGTCTTTAGAAAAAAATGATGTTAGTCCATGTAGTACCATTCATGTTGCTCATTCTGTTTGTATTTTTGGTCAAACATTTAGAGTTGGTTGTGTGGTTGCTTTGAAGTCTGATCACCGAGGAGAACAGCTCTTTGGTGAAATTGTACACATGATTCCAAAGTGTGAAATAGAAGTATTTGTATTTATCAGAATCTTAACTGTAACTTATTTTGACGATCATTTATATTGGTATATGGTGGAACAAACTCATGAATATGAGTTGATTTATTTTAAGAATTTAGGGGACATCAGACCACTGGACTTATAATTTTTTATCTGAAAATGTTAATATCTAAATCCAAGATATAAAATACTTGTATAAACATGTTCATGCTTGTTGTGTATTGGTTTGTTGCAAAAAAAGTTTGTTGTGTATCTTGTTTGAACTAAATTTCCTTTGACAAGTGTTGGACAAACTGCATGTGTTATTTATGGAAACAAGTTAGGTACACCAGCTTTAATGACAAATGGACAAACGTGTGACATCATTCCAGGGTGGACTGGCTCATGGAGAGAAGGGGTGACAACAGAAAGCTGCACAGGTGAAGATATTTAATGAGACAAATATACATGAGTTTAGTTGTGGACACATGTTTAGTTGTGGACAGGGCTGGGCGCCATGGCAACAAAACTGTTAAATCTCAATTTTTTTGACTATTTCAAACGCACTTTTCATTCCCATCCCAAACCTTCGTTGCAGCCAACTCAAAACTCACAGATGGTATGGCTTTTCTCAAAACGCCCTGACTTCCCTGTTGTACACAGATGAACTAAAGACACCCGAGAAGCAGAGGCTAAAGTAACTTGGACGTTTTCCTCTCTCACATTTGGTCGAATAATTAATACATTTTGGTTAGGATGGATGGGTGATGGAGGCTCAGCCCTGCTACACACAGGCTTAGAAGGTTCTGTCAATGGGACAAAGAGTATATAAGCTAGATCTGTCAAATTTACACACATTTCGGGCCTTGACCACGCCCATTCAGACTGACCACGGCTCCTCAGATCAGATTTTGCACCTGCCTTACTTTGGTCTCTAGAGAAGTCCCAAGTGTGAGCCAAGGTAAATGCCCCCTTGTCTCTGTTGATGGTGTGTAAGCTCCCTTTCTTCAGACACTCGCTCGTGCCACAGCACGGCGAGGGGGCCTGGTCAGTCTGAGGGGCGTGGTCATCTCAGGGGGGCGTGGTCATCTGACTGCGACCCAAACATGTGCTAATTCCACAGAGCTAGCTTCTTCACTCTTCGTCTCATTCACAGAACCTTCAAAGCCTGAAACATAAAGAAGACATATTGAGTTTTTTACATTTATTTACCCCGTACACACACGTGAGTTGGGAGAAACAATTGTAGATTACATTAAAGATTTCATAAAGCATGTATAAAAGCAGGTTATGTCTGTTTTTACTTATAAGCAACAAATAATCTCTCATCCAAAATGTGCGACATGAAATAAAAGTACATTCTGTTTGTTTTCAGTGTCGTGAGATTGTTGAATTGTGCCGTTTCAGTTTTCAAAATGGAATAAAATCTCACCCATTCAACACCTGAATGGTTCATTTGCAAAATAACATAAGTGACAGAAACAATGTCTGAAAGGTTTACAATCTGCCCTTTAACAAGTCAGATCTAAATTTGTGCCATGCAAGTATTTTATATGTGCTGCCATTAAAAAGATCAGAGAGAGAGAGACCAGTGAGAGACCAGTGAGAGACCAGAGAGAGACCATAGATCATATGACAGAGACTAGAGAGAGAGAGAGAGAGACCAGAGAGAAAGAACGGAGAGAAGAATACAACTTTTTGACAAATTTTTAAAACTGAGAAAGACCAGACAGAGACCATGGACAGAGAGACCAGAGAGAGAGAGAGACCAGAGAGAGAGAGAGACCAGAGAGACCATAGATCATAGACAGAGTGAGACCTGACAGACCGTGGACCAGAGACAAATTTGACACCTTTTCTAATTGGATAAATCTGTTTTGCAGATGATCCCTTCGCTTGATGAATGACTTTAACTTCTCACAAATGCAGTGACAAAGTTCAAACTTTGAATTCAATCAGAATCTGAGGGTCTGAAAATAATCTTGGTAAATATTGATGTAAAAATAGCATAATCTTCTTCGACAAGCACAAACACGTTACAGGCAGTTACGAGTCCAATATATTTTCACTTTTATATAAATCAAGCTGCAGTTAAAAAAACAAAAAAAGACACAGTATGTTGAAATAAACGTTAAAATAAATCCTAAAGTGTGTGACTGTGCGACAGGCCACAGCTGCCCTCAGGGTCAGGGGTCAGAGGTCAAGGCACACTGCTGTCTGGACGGACTGGTTGTTAAATCTGTGGCGGAACTTTGCAATAAAATCCCGAAATCATGATTTTTTAAAAATATTCTCATGTTCAGTACTCGCTGGACTATGAACCGCACCTGTGTATAAGCCGCAGGTTGATGTTGTGATGTCACTCTTCACCAACAGCTGAGGGCACAAAACAAACAATCTACAAAATGTCTACAGCCTCAGTCCTAGATCTACAGCCTCAGTCCTGGATCTACAGCCTCAGTCCTGGATCTACAGTCTCAATCCTGGGTCTAAAGCCTCAGTCCTGGGTCTACAGTCTGAGTCAGAATAAGCTGATCCCTCCCTCCCTGAGGTTTCTCACTTTATTTCCAGCCTGGCTTTTTGATTGGTTCGTTGCAGATGCAGGAGGGTCTAAGGACATTATACTGAGACTTCTGGACAGTATTCATCCCGCTCTTTAAGGACCAATGGCTCTTATGTGTTTGTTATAATTGCTTTTCTTGAGTTTGAACTGTTCTCTGATCTGATGTTGGTGAATCAGGAACGCCATTCTTAATAAAACTCAAAAGTCAAAATATTGAGTCAAAAAACTCTGACCAAAGCACTAATGACATAAACTCATGTCTTTCCGCTGTTCACATAAACACATTGCTTGGGATATAAACAGCTGATCCAAATCCCATACCACAGGGGGCGCTCTAACACAATAATAACAACTGCGCAGAAGTTGAAAAACATAGAGGCTCATAGTCCAGAAAGTACGGCACATTTTTCACAGTGTGTTTTTGAGAATCTGACAAAGCAAAAATATTGAAATACTGCAGCTGAGGCTTTTTCCATCTTCTCAGATTCCAAATATTCTTCCGTGGGGAGCAAGTTCACGTTAGGTTAGTGTTGAGTGCACTTTGGTTTCGGTTCAGAAGATCTCGACTGAAAAAGGCACAATATGCAGTTCCCTTTATGGAATTGTGCGTGTTTGAGTCACATAAAAACAACAACGTGCACGAGTTTAACAAATGTGGATAACGCATAAAAAGCAATTGTTCAAAATCATTGTCACATTTCAGCTCAATAATGTAAATATCGTCAACAAATACACATTTAGAGCAAGGACAGGAAGCCGAGAGAAACACGCTGGACTCGTTCTGCTGCCGGCAAACCTGCTTCTCTGCTTTGCTCAAAGGGGGCGGAGCTACGCCTTAAGCTCCGCAAAGGGGGAGGGGCCACCGTTTTTTCTCCGCAAAGGGGGAGGGGCCACAGAAACATGCCAACCCAACACATACAAATACTAAATCTGCTTCAGTTTCTCAGTTTCCACACACAAAGATTGTATTTTGGGATTTTCTGTTGAGAGATAAGAACAAAGAAAAACAGACAGCTGTGAAAGTGAAAGCAAAACGAGGGCTTTACACTGACCACAGACAGCAGCGTGTGGTTTCTCTACAGGGGACTTCAACTGGGGAGTCTTTTCTATTGTTGAGAATATACTCGTTTATAAAATAATAGAAAATAAATCAAGCAAAAACAAGGCCCAGTGGTTTATATCATGGTGTGGGGGTGCTTTTCTTTGGCAAGAACAGGTAAGAATGGAACCCAATGTAGGGGTGGTGGAGGGGTCTGTGGGGTCTGTGGGGTCAGGGCACAGCTGACACCTGACTCCATGATACCTGTGCTGGATTTTCAGCAAAAGTTGTCAATTTCTTTGTTGCAGTTTTTCAGAATAAAATCCAATATATAAAATCTATATGTTTGTGGTGTTCAACATGAGTAAAATGTGCAGAGGTTCAAGTTGTGTTAGTACTTCTGCATATCTCCAGTCTCTCTCTGATCTGAATAGTCTCTCTCTGGCCTCTCTCTGGTCTCTGGAAAGTCTCTCTCTGGTCTCTCTCTCCAGTCTCTTTCCTGTCTCGCTCTGGTCTCTCTCTCCAGTCTCTTTCCTCTCTCTCTGGTCCTGACATTAATATGGATGATTAATATGAATGGGGCAAAAACCACTCCAGGTCTGTTTTTAGACAACGTTACATCAACTTTAAAAACCGACCGTCCTCGGATGTGAGCAGAACGAGCCCAGCGTGCTCTGTGAAAAGTCTGTATTAGAACTGAACTATAAACTGCAGTGAACAGGTCCCATCTCACTCTTTTTGTTTACTTATAGGGCATGTGTTTGGATTGCATTTTAAATCCACTATTCACTTTTCTAAACTTACAGCTTACAAATCAGTATGTACATTTGAATCTGAAAAATAAATCGGGACAGGAAAATGTCTAGCCTTCTTTCGATGAGATAGAAGCAGGGCCCTTACCCAAACGGGGGAACCGTCTTTGGAGTTAAAATGGACATTTTCCTGTGGCGCAAAATCAATCAGCGTTGGTCTCCGAATCTTTGGCTTTAGTTCAGTTTCCACAAATTCCCTCACTCCGCCCGTCTGAGCGTTTCACAGTCCAAAGATCCATCCGTGTTTTGGCGAGTTCAGGATTAAAGACGCTGCTGTCTCACGTCCTTTTGTCCACACAAGATGGAGATGGGAGTTGGGGGTGTCGGGGGAGAGGCTTTTTACTGATTTTCGGAGCAGTAGGTCCCTCCTCCGTTGGGCACAGAGGGCAAAGAGAAGCCCCCGTTCCCCATGGCGTTTATCTGAAGAGATAAGACAAGATAGATGTCAAACAGTCATCAGAACAAAGCTCCAAGAGTAGACCAGAGAGGAACCAGAAAGACCATAGAGAGACCAGAGCGAGAGCAAGGAAATCAGGGAGACACCAGAGAGAGAGAACCCAGAGAGATCAGAGAGACTAGAGAGAGAGACCAGGGAGAGAGACCAGAGAGAGGCCAAAGAGATCAGGGAAGACACCAGAGAGAACCCAGAGACATCAGGAAGAGACTAGAAAAAGAGATGAGAGAGAGAGACCAGAGAGATCAGACTGATATGATGTTGTAGCTGTAAAAAAAGCATACACAATTCCACACAAAAATCTACAAAACAGCAAGGCTAATTTCAGATGCGTGCCTGTTGCAGAAGCCTGGATCATGCACACCGCCTTGCAGAAATACAAGCCTTGCGTATTTCAGTCAAAATACACAATGAACATGTTTGTGCGAATGGTCTTTGGCACTAGATCATGCCAAATTCCCCCTGCTCAATACGTCGATCGCAGAGGTAGTTTTGGTAGATCGCATCACAATAAAAAAATGATTCGTTTATGCATTTGCGTGTCGACAGAGATAACCGGAGTTTTGGGCTTTCGCACGCCACAGAATGCCCCCAAAACAACAACAAACAAAACGTGCGACCTCTGATCACTGAAGCATGGATCTTACTGCCTTAAAAACTGTCCGTTGCTGCGAACCGCTCGCTCCACATCAGAGAGCAGCAAAGTGATCATGCACGCTCGAAAACAACCAAAACAGGAGCTAAACCAGGATCAAACCAGCGCTGAGGACGAGGGTCAGTGCTTGTAAACATATATCTTCATTATGGATCTATTAATAATATGTCTTCACCCTGAGTTTCTAATATGACTGTAAGTGCCGCTACAGAACTTCTGTGGTTTTTCCCCAACGCAGGACAGGACGTCAGAGGACGCAAATGTTTGGAATGTTATGAATGTGATTGAAAACGCATATGTTCGGTTATGTGTGGATGCAAATTATTTCATAAATCATGCGGTTTTGCATGTACATCAACATACATTGTAGATATAAAGAATCCTCAATATATTTAGAAACAAATATATGTTTTGCATTTTTGTCGGTAGATCATTTTGACTTGATCATTTTATAAGTAGCTCGCATGCTGAAGAAGTGTGAGCACCCCTGGTCTAGGTCAACTCTTCTCTTCAAACATTAGAAGATCTGGGATGTTTGACAGCCATTCTGAACATTGTTTTTATTCATACAGTCTCACGTCTGACTCCACCAGCTCACAGAGACCATGAGATCAATGCTGCTATACATTAGTCCTCTGGCCTGAACTATCTTCTACACCTCTCCATAAACTACACAGCAGCACAGCAGCTGACGCGCTGGTGTCATGCATCCGCATGACTCTGAGCTTGCGGTGTGTAGGGGCCGCAGGGCACATATAAACTGTAGGTTACCTTGCTCTGCTGTCCGAAGTGGAACGTCTGTGCTGGAGAGATCAGAGAGTCCAGGCTGAAGACGGCCACGTTGGTACAGGACATTGGGGGGTTCGGGACCTCAGGGTGCTGCTGGTACATGCAGTAGGGTCTGGAGGATTCTGTGTGGAGCCCTGTGCTGAGGGCTGGTGAGAACATGCAGCTGGAGGTCAGAGGCTCTCTCCTGTGCTGAGCTCCAGAGATGTGAGGGTGTCCATTAGAGTCTGGGCTTTGGTGGGACCAGGCCCCCGCCCGGCTGCTGCTAAATGCCCCTACCTGTGGGGGGACAGGGCAGCTCCACTCGACCCCCTGCTGTGGTGGTGCGTGTGTGTACAAGCCCCCCACCTCAGGGTGGTGCAGGGGAGGGGGCAGACCCCCCTGCTGTGGCTGGAGCTGCTCTGGGGCCTGGATCCCTCTGGTCACACATGTCTGGGGACTGGTGATAGTGACTGGCGCTTGGCCTGTTACATTATTCACATATGTCTGATAATTAGGTTTGGGGTCTGAGTAGAAGAGAGGTACAGTCCCGTTCAGGGGGGGCTCTATGGAACCCAGCCTGAAGCTGTTCTGTGGAGCCTCTGCTTTTGGTATAATGTCACTGAGAATGTCGAAGTGCAGCTCCTGCAGCAGCACTTGTTCAGGAGACTCGCTGCTTAGATCCAGGCTAGGCAGAGCAGTGGGGATATCCTCCAAAAAAGTGAAGCCCCCCTCCTTCTGAAACTGCTCCTCCACAAAGGTCAGGATGTCCCGGCTCAGGGCACTGTCGAGGTCAGAGCTGCTGACGTTCAGGGACATGAGGGTGCTCTCCCAGCTCCTCAGCTCCTCAGGCTCAACCCCCAGAGAGGAGACCAGGCTGCTGTCCCCCAGCACCTGCTGCAGCGTGTCCACCATGTCCTGCATCCTGGACTCTGTCTTCACCAGTGTGCTGGAGTAGCCGGGGCCCTCGGACCACGGGGCCCCAGCGACACTGAACGTAGCTTCGCTGTCTGCAAAGGCTTCCACGGAGCTCATGTTGGGGTTGTGGGAACAATACAGGGAGTGGTCCTGTCCCAGCATGCTGCCCAGGATGGAGCTGGGGGTCACGCTGTAGTCCGTTCTCCTCTGCTTCGGGGCAGAGCACTGATCCTGAGGCTCGGGGCCTGGAAGGGCCACGGTGGGGGCCAGGTCATATAGCTGAGCCTCCCCAGAGGAGCTGGTGAAGGGAAGCTGCAGGTGCCGCTGACGTAAGTTCTCCTCGCCCTCCTCTGTCCTGGAAACAGACACCAGTACACAGTCAGTGAGGAACACACACACACTTACACAAGCACGCATGATCTAAATTCTGAGCCTTCACTGGTGTGGGTTTATTTTGATATCAGCAGATAATGGAAGTCAAAGTATCATACATAAACTACCGCAAAGCGAGTCAAACCCGTGAGGTCTATGATGCTGATCGGCTGTATCTCATGTTAAGTAGAGTATGGCGCCCTCTGGTGGAGCCGTGGGGACTTACGTGAGAGCCTTCATCCTGGTGATGATGAAGTCAGGTTTCCCTCCCTTGAAAATCAGCCGGGCCTTGGACTGGACCCACTTCCACGAACTGTTCTTAGTCAAGAGGCGGAAGATAGTGAAGCCAGTCACCCCGGTCTTCATCACTGTTCCAGACAACACAAAAATCAACACACACAGATCACAAACGCACAAAATCACACAGACACACATGCACACACACACACATACACATACACACACAGAGCGCGTGCACACACACAGAGAACCCACACACATGGGCACACACACATACACACAGAGCACAGACACAAACGCGCACACACACACACACACACTTACTGCGGAGGTGTTGGTCAGCGCAGTACATCATGTCTGCCGCATGGACAAAGTGGTACCCAGAAGCGGGGGCGCACAGCTCTGCCTCAGTATAGCCCAGGATCACCTCTCCCCTGCGCACACACACACACACACAAACACACATTAATCAATATCAATAATTTATATCACATTTCATGTAAAATCCAACTCAAAGTGTTATACATGGGCAATAATGTCCCCACCAGATAAGTGTATAAGGTACATCTATAGTAAGAGTAGTACCGGCTGTCGATGCCCATGGGGGTGAAGTCCAGCTTGTGTTTGGTCTGGAAGAGCAGGGTCTTAGTGCGGATCTCCAGGATGGACGGCGGCTGCATGGGCATGACCAGGGCAAACAGGGCCAGCTGAGGGGGCACAGGGGCCCCATCCTCTGCGTGCTGCTGCTGGCCGTGCAGGAACTTCAAACGGCCGTAGAAGTTCAGCGCCTGCACCCACAAACACATATGGTCATCATTACACAGGCACAGGTCCTCATATGGTCATCACCACACAGGCACAGGTCCTCATATGGTCATCACCACACAGACACAGGTCCTCATATGGTCATCACCACACAGGCACAGGTCCTCATATGGTCATTACCACACAGACACAGGTCCTCATATGGTCATCACCACACAGGCACAGGTCCTCATATGGTCATCACCACACAGGCACAGGTCCTCATATGGTCATTACCACACAGACACAGGTCCTCATATGGTCATCACCACACAGGCACAGGTCCTCACATGGTCATCATCACCACACAGAGACAAGTCTTCATATGGTCATCACCACACATACACAGGGCTTTATATGGTCATCACCACACACAAACAGGGTCTCATATGCTCATCATCACACAGACATAGGTCCTCATATGGTCATTACCACAGAGACACAGGTCCTCATATGGTCATCATCACACAGACACAGGTCTTTGTATGGTCATCACCACACAGACACAGGTCCTCATATGGTCATCACCACACAGAAACACAAACAGGTCCTCATATGGTCATCACCACACAGGCACAGGTCCTCATATGGTCATTACCACACAGACACAGGTCCTCATATGGTCATCACCACACAGGCACAGGTCCTCACATGGTCATCATCACCACACAGAGACAAGTCTTCATATGGTCAACACCACACATACACAGGGCTTTATATGGTCATCACCACACACAAACAGGGTCTCATATGCTCATCATCACACAGACACAGGTCCTCATATGGTCATCACCACACAGAAACACAAACAGGTCCTCATATGGTCATCACCACACAGACACAGGTCCTCATATGGTCATCACCACACAGAAACACAAACAGGTCCTCATATGGTCATCACCACACAGACACAGGTCTTCACCACACACAAACACAAACAGGTCCTCATATTGTCATCACAACACAGAGACAAGTCTTCATATGGTCATCACCACACAGGCGCAGGGCTTTATATGGTCATCACCCCACACAAACAGAAACAAGTCCTCATTTGGTCATCACCACACAGACACAGGTCTTCATATGGTCTTCACCACACACACACACTCAGGTTTTCATACAATCCTCACCACACACATACACACACACACACACACACACACACAGATTCATACCATCATCACCACACACAGGTCTTCATATGGACATTCCACAAACACAGGCCTTCATACACTCAGAACTACACACATAGTAGATGACCGTGTGAGAAGGGTAGAGTAGAGTAGAGTAGAGTAGAAGGCTAAAGTGTCTATAAGAAGAATGTGACGTGTGTGTACCAGGAAGCCGGAGGAGTTGTCCAGGAGGCAGCGGAATCGGCAGCAGAAGTTTCGCTCCAAGAAGGATGTGTTCTCCTGAGGGATTTGCTTTGGGTCGTACGTCACCAGGGAGGTGCTGACCTCCGACGAGCTCTGGTCATCTGAAGGAGCAGAGTAGCCAAATGTGAGGTGGTCATTGGAGCCTCAAGTCTGTGGGTCAGGGGCATGTGGGACTCACGTGTGGAGGTGTTGGGGTTCAGGGCGAAGTGCAGCTGCTGCCTGAAGAGAGCACGGTCCTCTGTGTGGATGAGCTCAAACACACTCTGGTGCACCACATCTGACTACACACAGGCACACACACACACACACCAGTTAGATAGATACTGTATATAGATACTTTATTGAACACCCATGAGAGAAATATAGAAACACGTTCATCCAAACAAATAAAACAAATAAATACATGATTCTAAAAGCAGAAGGTCATAGCAGAAGAGGTGGAGTTACACATTTGTTACGCATTACTCACAGAATATGAACTAAACTCAAAGACCTACAAATACATGATATAAACTAATCTTGCTGATTCTGTCTTATTTCTTTAAGCCCGACCTGCTTCTTGTAGGGACAGCAGGGGATGGAGTGTTTTGGCTGCAACTTGGAGCATGTTTTGGTCGATTTCACTTGCCCCTGTTAAATACAAACACATACACTACTTGCACTAAGCTGCTGAGCTGTGAGGTCATTCAAACACGGCTCCGAACAATAGCTGCAGATTCAGATTGTCCATGCTTCCTGAGGTCCATTGTCCTCTCCACTCTCCACACACACGTTTAGGGCACGACCACTTTAACTGGACCAAGTCTGGGTCACAGATCTGTTTCCAAAATGTGGAGGATCCTTGAGACTAAACTGGACTAAACACAGGAGTTAGACCAGACTCTACTCTACAAATCCTGGACCAGACCTGCCCCGGCTCCTGACCTGCTGGAGCTCCTCTTACCTGATGGAAGCCCAGAAAGTCCTGGATTGTGGGGGAGGTGTAGAAGACATATCCCTCTGCGGTCACCACCAGCACGAAGCCATTCAGAGCCTATGAGACAACAGGACATGGTCAGGCTGTCTCCACAGAAAGTCAAAAGTCATACATACAACAGCCTGACTCCTGGATCTACAGCCTCAGTCCTGGGTCTACAGCCGCCTCAGTCCTGGGTCTACAGCCTCAGTCCTGGATCTACAGCCGCCTCAGTCCTGGATCTACAGCCTCAGTCCTGGATCTACAGCCTCAGTCCTGGGTCTACAGCCTCAGTCCTGTATGATCTACAGCCTCAGGCCTGGATCTACAGCCTCAGTCCTGGATCTACAGCCTCAGGCCTGGATCTAGAGCCTCAGGCCTGGATCTAGCGCCTCAGGCCTGGATCTACAGCTTCAGTCCTGGATCTACAGCATCAGTCCTGGGTCTACAGCAGGGGTGCTCACACTTTTTCAGCATGCGAGCTACTTATAAAAGGATCAAGTCAAAATGATCTACCTACTACAAAAATGCAAATCATATATTTCAAAAAATATTCTTTATATCTACATGTATGTTTATGTACATGCAAAACCGCATGAGCCAATATAGCACAACACAACTACCTATGTAAATTTTTTGTCATTACCCGAGTTTACTCTTATGACTTGCACTGAATTGAATCGGCCAGGGAGGCATAGTCCGGAAAATTGGCGGTAACTCGCTGACAAGTTTGTTGTGGTTTAGCTTTCCTGCACTGAGCGCGGTTGTTTGCGCATGTGCAGTCACCTAAGTGTCAGTAAAACATTACTGAGTAAAACATAGATGTCATTTGACTGTGGTGCCATGCCTGTTTTTTTTTTTTAAATCAAAATATTTCCCCTCCTCAGTTTATAAAATAATTTGCATCCACACATCTGCGTTATCAATCACATTCGTAACATTCCAAACATGTGCGTCTCTTACGTCCTGTCCTGCGTTGGGGAAAAACACAGAAGTGGGCGGAGCTTTGATCCAGACGCCGGTAACGGCACTTTTACAGTCATAGAAGACTCTCAGAGTAAAGAGTAAGACGTATGTTTACAAGCACTGACCCCGTCCTCAGCCCTGGTTTAGTCCTGGTTTAGTCCTGGTTTAGTTGTTTTCGAGCGTGAGTCCCCGCGATCACTTTGCTGCTCTCTGATGTGGAGCGAGGATGTTCGCTGCTGCGAGCATCTCACAGCAAACAGTTTTTAAGGTAGTATGATCCATGCTTCAGTGATCAGGTGAATTTAGGAGGGTACTGTGGCGTGCGAGAACGCAAAACTCCGGTTATCTCTGTCTACACACAAATGCATTAACGGAGTTTTCAAAAATCTCCACTTTGCCCGGAGTTTTTTGTATATATTCGTTTAGAATGTGTAATTTTTTACTTATTTAATGCGATCTACCAATACTACCTTTGCGATCGACTGGTAGATCGCGATCGACGTATTGAGCACCCCTGGTCTACAGCCTCAGTCCTGGATTTACAGCCGCCTCAGTCCTGGATCTACAGCTGCCTCAGTCCTGGATCTACAGCCTCAGTCCTGGGTCTACAGCCTCAGTCCTGGATCTACAGCCTCAGGCCTGGATCTACAGCCTCAGTCCTGGATCTACAGCCTCAGGCCTGGATCTCGAGCCTCAGGCCTGGATCTAGCGCCTCAGGCCTGGATCTACAGCCTGTGCGTTCATGCAAGTGGATGCCTCTCTCAATTAAGGCCTCCTCACATTTTATCCTGAGTGTGTTCTTGATTAGTTCCTTGCAGATGCCTGAGGTTATGAGAACAGTGATGATCTAGGAAAATTATTAACATTTAAAACTCCCTTTTTTGGCATAATAATTATTAAAAAATTTCAACTGTGTTTCAATAAGGAGAGAACACCAAAATTCACATGAGATTAATTTAACAAACCAGAATGTACAATAGATGTTCTGAGGGATTCTAGATTCTATACAGGTCACAGAACACTGATTATGAGGAAAAGTGTGTGTATGAAACAGTATCCATCAGGAGAAACAAGACAATACAGCTGTACAAGAGGGGCCCCTGAGGAAACATAAAAGAAGACCCTACCTCGCCTGTGGAGGAGCTCTCTCTCTTGAGATGAACTTGAAAAAGGTTTACTGTACCTTCAGCAGCAGGTCTCCCTCGCTGAAGCTCACCCCGTCAATGGAGGTGACCAGAGGCTGAGTGGGGCCCAGGACAGGTGAGAGGGCCGGGGCAGCAGAGATGGCCGCATTCACCGCTCCAGGGCCCTTCTTCAGAGTGGCTGAGGGGACATGACACAACATGAGTCCAAGATTACTACATTAATACATTAAAAAGTACCATTGCACATATTATGAACCTGTGTCAGCTGGTTTGGGAACCTGTCTCTGCTCAAACTGCTGCCGCCACAACCAGGCAATGGATAAAAGGGAGAACAAAGATGGATGAATGCATTGTTTTGTTGAATAAATCAGAAATACCATTGGGAGACTTAGTCCTTATTTATAGAATAAGTGGGTCACCGCAAAAGGGTTGCTGTTCCTGACTTTTCTGAATGGAGTTTGCATGTTCCCTCTCAGATTTCCAACACAAAATATTCACCAGGATTATCCTCAAGCAAAGGTTCTGATCAGCAGGGCCCCAGAGACAGCGAGGGGTGGGTCAAATGCAGACAGCAGACCCCAGTCTCAGAATCTGATGTAAGCACATATGGGCTCTTATCTGTCTCCTGATCTCTGTGTGCACAGGGACCCTGCGGGATAGTGTGTGTGTCTGTGCGTGTGTGCGCATATGTATGCATATGTGTGTGAGCGTGTGTGTGTGTATGAGTGGGTGTGCATGAGTGTGTCTCTGTGTTGTCGGCCAGATCATGTCCCAACATGCAGAGTCTCACATCCGCTCACTCTCATGCCGCTGTTTAAACAACATCACACACTATTGTTTTATGTTGTGTTGGAGAACTGGAGATCATGTGTGTCTGTTGTGTGCTTGTTGTGTGTCTGTTGTGTGTCTGAGTGTGTGTGTGCATATTGAGTATGTTGTTTGTGGTTGTGGCGGCTGAAGCACACTGGGATATTGTGTATGAGCTCGACTCGCACTGATATGACTGTTTACATTCCTGAGTGGAGCCAGGTCCTCCCACAGCCATCACACACTCTGGCCCCCCCTCACAGCCATCACACACTCTGGCCCCCCCTCACAGCCATCACACACTCTGGCCCCCCCTTACAGCCATCACACACTCTCGCCCCTCCCACACCCATCACACACTCTGGCCCCTCCCATACCCATCACATGTTCTGGCCCCTCCCACACCCATCACGTGCTCTGCCCCCTCCCTCACCCATCACACGTGTTGGCCCCTCCCACACCCATCACACGCAATGGCCCCTCCCACACCCATCACACGCTCTGGCCCCTCCCACACCCATCACACACTCTAGCCCCTCCCACACCCATCACGTGCTCTGCCCCCTCCCTCACCCATCACACGCGTTGGCCCCTCCCACACCCATCACACGCAATGGCCCCTCCCACACCCATCACACGCTCTGGCCCCTCCCACACCCATCACACACTCTAGCCCCTCCCACACCCATCACACGCTCTGGCCCCTCCCTCACCCATCACACACTCTGGCCCCTCCCACACCCATCATGTGCTCTGCCCCCTCCCTCACCCATCACACGTTTTGGCCCCTCCCACACCCATCATACGCTCTAGCCCCTCCCTCACCCATCACAGACTCTGGCCCCTCCCACACCCATCATACGCTCTTGCCCCTCCCTCACCCATCACAGACTACACCCATCATACGCTCTGGCCCCCCCTCACCCATCACACACTCTGGCCCCTCCCACATCCATCATACGCTCTGGCCCCTCCCTCACCCATTACACACTCTGGCCCCTCCCACATCCATCACACGCTCTGGCCCCTCCCTCACCCATCATTCGCTCTGGCTCCTCCCACATCCATCCTGAGGGACCTTGAGGACTGAGCTTTTAGAACCCTGAGGGCCGGTCTTTTAGAACCCTAAGAACCGGGCTTTTAGAACCCTGAGGACCGAGCTTTTAGAACCCATGAGGACCGAGACCTCTGAACCCTGAGGACCGAGCTTTTAGAACCCTGAGGACCGAGTCTTCTGAACCCAGAGGGACCTGCAATGGAAATCGAACATTAATTTAATTAACTGTATTCAGGTCTATACTATGGAGGACCGTGGCTGCCAAAACAATAAATATATAGAGAAAAATTTTTTTTTTTTTTAAAAAGATAAAATTTGCAAAGAAATGCATGCAATTATGGGAATACCTGCATTTATTTCTGTATTTATTTCTTTATATATTTATTTATTTCTGTATTTATTTATTTATATATTTATTTATTTTATTTTTGTATTTATTCATACATTTATTTCTGCATTTATACATTTATTTCTCTATTCCTGTATTTATTTTTTCTCTATTTTTTTTTTTCTCTATTTCTGTATTTATTTCTGTATTTATCTCCGTATTTCTCTTAATGATATGCAAGTCATGGGGTGGGCTGGGATGCCTCTGCTGTAAGCTCATTGGTTAATCTTTTTCCTTGCTCCATAGCTTGTTGAGATCACTGTGTTCTTTTCAGATTATTAACATGAAAAGAAGTGAGAGAACAGGTCAAATTCCAAAAAATATTAGGGCGCTTTGGGGTGCTCACAAACACCACTGCTCTACAATCAGTGGTGTAGCCTACGCGATACGCAGGTATTCGCCGTATAACCACGAGAAGCCACTACAAATTGGGCAAAGATTGGGTCCGTATCACTCATTTGCGCAGTGTTACTTTTGCGCTTTCTGCCCAATTAAAGACCAGCCTAAACTCCACAACAAGTAACTATTTCCTCCCATGACACCGAGAGAGGGTGTCTCTCTCTCTCTTTCTCTGGCACTGTTCCCTCTAACTGCGCTCGTGCGCTCCCGTGTTGTCTGGGCACAAAATAAAACATAGCGGATATGATAGAGGAGTATCCTCCGCTCTGAGAGTCCACGATGTCGGCCTCTTCATGCTCGTTTCCCTGTCCGGCTCGTGAGAGGCTTTTGGCAAAGGCACTGACAGGTGCTCGTGTGTATTTTACTACAAAGCGCTGAAGTCCGCCGAAAAACCCCGCGTTCGAAGTGTGTGTTTTACACTCAGACACTGGAGCTTTCAGTGAAGGCTGAGAGAGACTGAAAAGTGGACGCGGCCACAGCACTGACCGAGCCATATTCATGGTACAAACGGTGGCGCGAGTGTGGAGGGGGTGAGTGTGGTGATCTCAACATGACCGCCTATGCTGGACAAGCTATGGAGCAAGGAAAAAGATTAACCAATGAGCTTACAGCAGAGGCATCCCGGCCCACCCCATGACTTGCATATCATTAAAGAGAAATACGGAAATAAATACAGAAATAAATACAGAAATAAATACAGAAATAAATACAGAAATAAATAAATAGAGAAAAAAAATAGAGAAATAAATAAATAAATAGAGAAATAAATAAATAAATGCAAAAATAAATAAATAAATAGAGAAATAAATGCAAAAATAAATAAATAAATAGAGAAATAAATAAATAAATGGAAAAATAAATAAATAAATAGAGAAATAAATAAATAGAGTAATAAATACATAAATACAGAAATAGAGATAAATAAATGTACAAATGCAGAAATAAACGTATGAATAAATACAAAAATAAATAAATAAATACAGAAATAAATAAATATATAAATACAGAAATACAGAAATAAATGCACTTATTCTCATAATTGCATGCATTTCTTTGCAAATTTTATCTTTTTTAAATGTATTTATTTATTTATTGTTTTGGCAGCCACGGTCCTCCATACTATACACAAATACAGTGAATTAAATTAACTTTAACTTTATACCCTGACAATTCCCATTTTGACCTGGCCACGTGGCTCTACATGCTCAACATAGAAACCAAAACTTAACTGAGTCCATATTACTGATCCAAGTTTGTCATAGATACTGTAGTAATCTATAAAAATTTTAGTTAGACAGAATCATAAAATATCCTTAACTGTAAAAGCAGCTCAAACTTGCTCCCATGACCTTATCTGACCATCTCAAACAAATTCCAAACACACAAACCACGCCAAAAATAAATCTGCAAACACGCCTGAGAGCTGATAATCCAAATTGCAAGGAAGCAGAAATTGTCCCAGGTCCCTTCCACCGATAGTCCGAGCCCATGTCCCCACGTGAATATGCATACAGGCATACACATGCACACATGCGCACACGTACGTATACACACACGGGGGCTCGCGTGCGAACTTTCAACCTCTGGCATCCTGCTCCGACGAGGCGAGGAAGTGTGGGGAGACTGCAGCGGGAGGAGAGGGCGGGAAGAAAAACAGGGCAGGAAAAGCCCCGAACCGACCTATTCCGGGACGCAGATCTTAAAGTCCCCCATCCCTTCTGACTAAATGCTCTTTTCTCAAACGCGTTAAGCTATGACAAACCCTTACAATAAAAAGACAAGCATTGCCCCAGTCTAAAGATGTCCTTTACAACAACGTGGATTCAATTAGACCATGCTATCTTGGATTTTAATGTAAATAAAGCCGAATGTGAGTTCTCATCTGTCCATCTATTCATGTTCTTCCGTTTCATCCGTTGCCGGGTAATGGGGGCAGCTGTTTGAGCAGAGAAGCCCAGACTTCTCTCTCCACACACATTTCTTCCAGTCTTCTCCCGTTGGGACATGACCAGAACACCTTCTCAGAGAGGCGTCCAGGAGGCCTCACAAACACATACCCGAGCCACCTTTACTCTACTAGGCGTGAAGAAGCAACGGCTCTAATCCGAGCTCCTCTCGTGTGACTGAGCTCCTTACTCTATCTCTGCAAAGGATACTCATGGGACCGCTTGTATCCGCAATCGTTCTTTCGGTCATTACCCAAAGCTCATTAGTCCTCTCATGCTTTATGGGTCATACATCATGTTCTGGCCTTTCCCAGTATACTAGCTCTACTAGCTCTGGCTCCTATTGACTTACATGCGTTTGTCTCACACTCACACTTGTCTCTCACCATTTTGGGCTTAAAGATCTGTCTTAAAGAAATTGTCTTTGTAGGTCCAGAAATTAGCTATATACTATAAGGGTTGACCAATCAGATGGCTTCATTCGCGGCAAAAACTCGGCTAAAAGACGAGATGTGTTAGATGTGAGGATGTTAAATTTTGTATTCAATCTTTATAGACTTGGGTTAGGGTTATAGGCCCTCATTTATGAAACTTGCGTACGGCCAAATCAGGGTGTAAATGAGGCATACGCAAAAGATTTACACTTTTCGGTATTTGTCAATCTGGAAGTGAGCGTACGGTGCGCACAGAATATACACCCATCTCAACCTTCATCTCAACGCGCAAATAACACGCATGCAATTCAACATTTGGACAAAAATAAACATATTCCCTCTCTGGCAATATTATAGGCACACTTCTCACATTACAAATATACAATTTTACGAAGTTATGTTAGGGCTAGTTTGTGTTCTTAAATAACGTGCAAGATGTCAAACTCTAAAGTCTCCCACAAATGTGTGGATTGTTAAATGCACCAATCAGTGCGTAATGGCATTTGGTTCATGCGGGTCCAAGAAAAGACGCATGCCACCGTGGAGGCTGCGCGGGTCTGATCAGAGGAAGATGGCTCTGGGACAAGCATGGGGCTACGCTCTGGTACCTCCCGGTACAAATGTGCCATATGATCCTGGCACAGCAGGCACAGGACCACAGTGTGCCATGATGCACTGGTGGAGCAGCCCTGCATGAGAGACCATGACCAGCACCGCCTTCGGCCTGTACAGCTCAGACAGGCAGCTCAACCATTTTAAAATAATAATCACATACATAATTTGAAGTTAATTTTATTTCTTAATATTTTCTGTTGGATGCTTTGGTCTGGCAGTCCTCCCCCTGGGCTGCTGAGCACTTCTTCTATGGGCTGCTAAACGCCTTTTTGTAACCATTTTAAGGTCGCTCAATTTTTTTTTCACCTGTGGCATAAATCAATAAATTCTAACTATTGGCCCAATATATCTGTCAACTGTTTGACATAACATAGCGTATATTCCTTCAAACATGAATAAACTCACCTCTTCAGGAGTGCGTGTTGCAGGCACCACGCTGTTTACAGATGTCATCTCTTTCCATATTTTCTTTTTTGAGCCCCTTGATGCCACTTTTGAGGCTTCCAAATAGTAAGACTTAATTTTTTCCCACTTTGTTCAGAATGGTCTCAACTTTCTTCTCCGTGAAATTTTGTGTGTGTGCCGTTTCCTCTCAATTGTCGTAAAAACGGCGAGTGTTGCTGCATATTTCTATACGCGTGACTTTCATAACGTTCGTTTTCAGCCGCGGCATTTATCAACAGCTGCAGGTGCGTACGCTCAGTTCTGTGCCGTGTCTCGCACGTTCATAAATCCGGCATTGGCTTGTGCGTATTTGGATTATACACCCAAAATATACACCCTTTTCTGCGCAATTTTCATAAATGAGGGCCATTGTGTCTTTGAGAGTTGAACACTACTGCAGAGTCTGAACGATAACAGGCGAGAGTAGATATTGTGTGAGTGTGTGTGTGTGTATAGGTGTGTGTGTGTGTGTGTGTGTGTATAGATGACCTCCACACTCACCGTTAAAGAAGCTCTTGACCTTCAGGTACCCCACACTGAGGCGCAGCACCGACAGCTTGTCCAGACGGGCGCGCACCTCCTCGCTGAAGGGCAGCAGGCTGGTCAGCTTCTCCAACTCCCCGTTCAGACGGTCCCTGTGGCGTTTGGACGGGTTGGTTTTGGACCCTTCAGGTGGAGACGCTTTGGGGCTAAAACAGGAAGAACAAATTAAGTAAGTAATGTTTATTTGTATAGCACACCAATGTCACCCAAAGCGCTTTACAATGTTCAGAGTTTGTTTCATTTACTCCACACACAATGATGACAGAAGCAAGACGCCGAACACACTGGATCAAAGCCCCGACCAGCACCATCCATTCACTCTCTCCTTTACATACAGACCTATTATACATGTTTTTGGTGGTAGGGGAAACCGAGCACCTGGAGTAAATTGGGAGAAGACAGAACGAGGATGAAGACTACAAAAACTCCACTCGGGGCTGGAACCCATGACCTTTGGCTGAGAAGCATGCTGCTATCCACTCAATGCTTAGAATGATCAATTTCCACGAAGTTAAAGTTAAATGCCGCGGATGTATATAGCACTTTTTTGGACGCTTAAAGACAACATTATTCTTTTCACTCCAAACAAAGTAAGTGATAAACGTTACTGTAAGCCACTAGCACAGGCTGCCTGGGTCGGCACACTGACTGCAGCGAGGCAACAGTATGTGCCATCACCCCTTCCATACCGCTTCACTCACCTCACCATACTCCTTCTTATGTGGGTGAAGTGTCTTGCATAAGGACACAACAACAGTTTGGCACTTTACAGCCACAGCCGCCCCACTGTAGCACCTGGTGTTCCCAAAGGTCTCCCGTCATAGTACTAACTAGGCCCTGCCCTGCTTAGCTCAAGAGTTCTGATAGGATCTGACTTTCACCTGCAGGTATGGCCACAAAGTATGGATAAATTACACGTTATTATTGGGGCTAATCCTTATCCTTGAACCAAGTGTAAAGTCCAGAGTTTTATTATTTTATTATGTTATTTATCTATAGATCCTGTTTGATGTCATAAACTGAGCTCTTACTTTTACTGTTTTTATTCTACTTTATTATGCGAAAAAGATGACATTGAAATTTCTCCCGATGGGACCTTAGCAAGTTCATTTTACGCATTGTTTTTTCCCACCAGGCTTTTAATGGAAGGGAAACCGGAGCACCTGGAGGAACCCTACACAACATGACATCTCCTCTCAGAAACCAATTCAAGTCAATGGTATTTGTAGGGCTGGGCGATAAAACGATAACGATATATATCGCGATAGACATGTGTTCGATATCAATAGAGAATGGGGTCGATAGAATGTTCAATAGTTTAACTTAACTCCGTCAGGAAAAACAGGAAGAAAACACCGGAAGTAAAGCCGACTCATAAGCGCATGGCATTGTGGGGGATGTAGGCAGAGGCTTCTCGACCAATAACGCCGAGCAGGAACCGCAAAACTTTATGGGAAATGCAAGAACACCAACAACCGCACCATGCGCAGCGTCTATGGATCTATAGCTCGTGTTTCAATGCCGTGTCAATGGTTATGCACGTACGTGCGCGGAATAACATGTGCGGCGGCAAAGGCAGTGGACAGACCCGATGTATTCGGCGAAAGCAAGAGATTAACTTTTTCCTCGGGAAGCATGTGCAGCACAGAGAGCCGCACGGAGCGGTCACGGGGACACAAGACCCTCGAAAACAGCTAAACCAGGAATAAAAAACCAGGATTAAACCAGGACTAACAACGAGGGACACAGTGTTAACATATTCCTCCAGCCTCATTCCCCCGTGACTGTAAACAAGGCTGCTAAGGTTGGTTAGCCCACATGACAAATGTATTTATTTAGGTAAAAAAAAAAAAACTCAATATATATTGTTATCGACCGATATGAATGACTTATATCGTGATATAGTTTTCAGCCATATCGCCCAGCCCTAGGTATTTGTACAGCCCTGATTCACGACAGCAGTGGACTTGGACTTGTCAATATGAAGCTGAACGCGCAAATTCATACTGAAAGACTTCCAAATTCCCCCTTCCAAGCCAGCCAATCACACAGCGCTGCCAGCCTCCTGACAACCCTCTCACAGCAAAGCAGGCAGTTTAAAAAGGCAGCCACTTCCTGACAAGTAGCGCTTCCTGGAGCTCTTAACACCCACCACCTCCCCAGCGCCTCCTCTGGCTCCCGCTCTCTGCTCCCGCTCTGGCTCCCGCTCTAGGCTCCTGCTCTGGCTCCCGCTCTAGGCTCCTGCTCTGGCTCCTGCTCTGGCTCCTGCTCCGCCTACGCCCCATTCACACCATACTCTAGCCACCACCATTGCTTGACCCCGGGGGATCTGAGCTCATCTTCAGCTGCAATCGATCTGATCGCTGCAAGTGTCACTGCCGGGGTCAATGCGCCAAATAAATAAATAATTTTAATGTATGAATTATGTCTTTGGTCTCTTCAGACTGAATTGCCAACAGCAGATTTGAGAATCCTCTGAAACTAAAACAATCACTTCCTGGTCTCTTTTTTTTTGGTTTCCTTTTGGTCTCTATCTGGTCTCTCCCTTTCTGGTCTCTCTTGCTCTAGTCTCTCTCTGCTCTCTGGTCTCTCTTTCGTCTCTCTCTCTTCTCTCCATCTGTCTCTATGGTTTCTCTGGTCTCTCTCCGGTCTTTCTCTTGTCTCTCTCTCTCTCTCTCCAGTCTCTTCTCTCTCTCTTGTCTCGCTCTCTCTCTTCGGTCTCTAGTCTCTCTCTCTGGTCTCTTGTCTCTCTCTCTCTCTTGTCTCTCTCGCTCTCTGGTCTCTCTCGCTCTCTCTCCAATCTCTCTCCGGTCTCTAGTCTCTCTCTCTCTGGTCTCTTGTCTTTCTCTATTCTCTCTCTCTCCGGTCTCTTATCTCTCTCTCTCTCTCTCTCTCTCTCTCTCTCCGGTCTCTTGTCTCTCTCTCTTGTCTCTCTCTCTCTCCCTCTCCGGTCTCTTGTCTCTCTCTCTAGTCTCTCTCTCGCTCTCCGGTCTCTTGTCTCTCTCTCTGGTCCTAACTTTCAGACCACAACAATAGAACTCTGTAATACAATCCATGTCTCTAGTTTCTGGCGCTCCACCAGTTTTCTTCAATCTCAAGTTTTCACAGGTACTTTTGGCCTCCGTCTTATCTTTAGATCAGCTTATTCAGACCAAAAAAAGGAAAAAATAAGGGACTCACAAGGCTCTTTCTTGCTTTAAAACTATTGTATGTTTGGAACTATTAGGCGGACATAAAAGCCTTTAATTTCAACAGTGCGTCTTATCACAGGGACTGGCCTCCTGCTGGGACTCTGAGGAGCACAGGGACTGGCCTCCTGCTGGGACTCTGAGGAGCACAGGGACTGGCCTCCTGCTGGGACTCTGAGGAGCACAGGGACTGGCCTCCTGCTGGTCCCAGAGTCAGGACCAAACATGAGGAGGCAACATTTCAGATTTATGCAGCTAAACAGTCTTCCTGAAAATGTGAGACAGGCTTCTTCCCTGTTCAAAGCCAGGTTAAAAACAGTTGTTTATCTGTGCTACAACTGGGGCGTTTGATTATTTTTTAATTGTACTGTAATTATGTGTGAGTTTAACGCCTTGTTTTGTTTATATCTTGTTTGACACTTTAGAGTTGCTGTTTGTATGAGCTAAACAAATAAACTTGCCTTGCCTATAGGTAGTAATAGTTATAGTGTAGGAACACTGTAGGTCATACAATGGGGTTTTGTGTTACACTTTTGCCTGCTTAAAAAAAGACCTCTATAAATTAGCTTCGATTAGGCTGGTTTTAACTGGGGGCCCACGGTGTCGCAGAGTGTACACACAACTGGAGTCACAGAACTCACGAAAAGAAAAAAAGAAAAACTTGAAAAACCAACTCCCAGTGAAAGAAAAAGAGTTTGCCCCAAAAGCAGGCAGCCCTCAGCCCCTTACACAAGTTTGCGTGAGACGGAGCTATGTTAATTTGAGTCGAGGGAGGGAGGAAAGAAAACAAGCCATGGAGAAGAAAAAAAGGGAAGAAAAAAAAGAGAAACCCGGCCAGCAGACAGAGACAGAGGGATCGACGGGAAAAGAGTGTGTTGTGGCAGCAAGAGGAGGAGGAGGAGTCGGATCACATTACAGCCCGCTGCCGTCTCCGTCCTCCCCAGTCCTCCCCCATGGAAACATCGCGTGAGAGCAGGCTGCAGCACTGTGGCCCCGCTCTGATACAAGGGCAGGTACATGACACTCACACACACACTCTCTCTCTCAAGCACAGAGACACACACTCACTGTTTTCAAGCATTTAAACACATACGCACACAGTCTCAAGCTTAGACACACACTCACTCAAACATAGACACACACTTCAAGCGTTTACACAATACACACATAAACATACATACACATACATACACACACACATTTATTCATACATACAAACACAAAATATTCCCTCTCTCTGTCTCACACATAAACACACACATACTCACACACACACACACACATTTTCTCTCACGCACACTCTCTTTCTGTCACATACACACATACACATATACACACACTCTCTCTCACACACACACACATACACACACACACTCTCTCACATAGACACACACTCTCTCTCACAGACACACACACACTCTCTCTCTCTCACACACACACACACACACACACACACACTGCTGCTGGTACTTGCGGTGTAGGGGCCGGAGACGGGGGACTGTCTCAAAAGTAAACACAAGAGACGTTTTGTGGGAAGTAGCTTTTGAGAAATATATTTCTTTTCTGTTGTTACTTTATTACTCGAGTACTAATGTTGAGTATCACACAAATCTGTACTTGCACTTTTTGAGGGAAAAGTGAAACTAAACCACTTCTTATTTTTAGTGTAAAAGTAAATGCAAAAGTGTAAAGTAACTTATTGCAAACATCAAATATTTTTTGTAACATTGTAGTAGAATATTAATGCAATACACGAGGCCCCACACTGATACAATGGCAGGTACAAGAGACACACACACACACACACACACACACACATTATTAAATATTAACCTCATGTCTCACAACAACCAGGTCCTGGGTTCAACTCCTATAAGTGGTAAAGCACCTTTCCGAGAGGAGTTTGCACGTTCTCCCTGTGTCTTGTGAGGGTTTTCTCCAGGTGCTCCGGTTTCCTATACCACTAAAAACATGCAAAATGGGACTACGGACAAAAACCCGCCTCAAGCTTATTCCGATGTACACACAATACACACAAATAAACACATCTATTCCAAGGTTGCAGGTTCGAATTCAGACAGCAGTGTACTGTATGCATATAGGGAGGCCTTTAACCTGAGCTAACTGCAGCTACGCTAACAAGGGGGTGCCAAAAGAACCGCAAAAATCAGATAATAATGTAATAAAACACACAAACACAACCAAAACTAGCTTGCAAATGTTACGCAAGCTAGCTCCACCATCTCTACAGACGACAGAGCTGTGGGCGGGGCTAGGTGATGGGTGAAACTGAGATTTTCCGAGCACAAAGGCCTCTTCAAACACGGCAGGATAAGAAATGCTGAAATTGGTGAAAGAGGAACAATGGAAGCACTGTGTCCGGACGTCCATTTTCTTCCATTGCACACAACCGTTATGTTTTTTTGATTTTGCCTTGATTTTTTTTCTCCTACAGCTAAAAATAAAAATAAAAAATTGGCCAACGTGAGGACGGAGCAGCAGGTCAACAACAGCCGAGGACAGCAGTGGGACTCATGACGCAATACAGGGGTGTCAAACTCATTTTGGTCAGGGGCCGAATAAAAAATTAGGAACTATCTAACTTCTAATAATGTGTTTTTGGATTAAAATGGTAGAATATATTAAATTTGGTTGTTGTCCTGAGAAAATAAATGATGTATAACCTTCCTTCGTCGCCCATTGCCATCGCCCTTAAGTTAATAATACAATTTTTAGGGGCCTCTAAAAATTGTCTTGCGGACCGGATCTGGCCCCCGCGCCTTGACTTTGACACCTATGACGCAATAGATCCACTGTTACTTAATAGTTATCAATTCACATCTGTATTATTATCAATCGACCGGTTTGATTGGCTTTTTATCTGTTTTCTTGAATCCGGATCTCAAAACTATATTGTCCACTTTTCAATTTCAGTTCAAAATGAAAAGTCCAAATGTCCAGGAGGCTCTTCGAAATGAGTGTTTTTGTTCCAGAGGTTCATGGATGTAACTTCTTTTTAGTTTCATTTGACAACATGTTAGTTTGCTTATTGCACAACTGATTATAGATCAGATAGCTTTGAACTGGGCCCTGGTTCAGTCCTGGTTCAGTCCTGCTTTAGTCCTGCTTTAGTCCTACTTTAGACCTGCTTTAGTTCTGATTTAGTTCTGATTTAGTTCTGATTTAGACCTGCTTTAGTCCTGCTTTAGTCCTGCTTTAGTTCTGATTTAGTTCTGATTTAGACCTGCTTTAGTCCTGCTTTAGTTCTGATTTAGTCCTGCTTTAGTCCTGCTTTAGTTCTGATTTATACCTGCTTTAGACCTGCTTTAGTTCTGATTTAGACCTGCTTTAGTCCTGCTTTAGTTCCTATTTAGTCCTGCTTTAGACCTGCTTTAGTTCTGATTTAGACCTGCATTAGTCCTGATTTAGACCTGTTTTGGTTCTGATTCAGACCTAGTTTAGTCCTGATTTAATCCTGCTATAGTCGTGATTTAGTCCTTTTTAGACCTCTTTTAGACCTGTTTAAGGCCTGTCTTAGTCCTGTTTTAGACCCACTTTAGACCTGTTTTAGTCCTGTTTTAGTCCTGCTTTAGTCCAGCTTTAGTTCTGATTTAGACCTGCTTTAGTCCTGCTTTACTTCCTATTTAGTCCTCCTTTAGTCCTGATTTAGTTCTGCTTTAGACCTGCTTTAGTCCTGCTTTAGCCCTGCTTTAGTCCTGATTTAGTTCTGATTTAGACCTGCTTTAGTTCTGATTTATACCTGCTTTATACCTGCTTTAGTCCTGCTTTACTTCCTATTTAGTCCTCCTTTAGCCCTGATTTAGTTCTGCTTTAGACCTGCTTTAGTCCTGCTTTAGCCCTGCTTTAGTCCTGATTTAGTTCTAATTTAGACCTTCATTAGTCCTGATTCAGACCTGTTTTGGTTCTGATTCAGACCTCGTTTAGTCCTGATTTAGTCCTTTTTTAGACCTCTTTTAGACCTGTTTAAGGCCTGTCTAAGTCCTGTTTTAGACCCACTTTAGACCTGTCTTAGTCCCGTTTTAGACCCACTTTAGACCTGTTTTAGTCCTGTTTTAGTCCTGCTTTAGTCCAGCTTTAGTCCTGTTTTAGACCTGCTTTAGTCCTGTTTTTGTCCTGCTTTAGTCCAGCTTTAGTCCTGTTTAAGACCTGCTTTAGTCCTGTTTTTGTCCTGCTTTAGTCCAGCTTTAGTCCTGTTTAAGACCTGCTTTAGTCCTGTTTTTGTCTTTTAGTCCTGCTTTAGTCCCTCTGCCACAGCCCGGGCCTCAGACGTCTCTTGTGCGTAAAAACAGATCCACTCACATTTTCTGCACGGGCTTCTTCCGCTTCTTCACCGCGTACATGGTCGTGTTCATGGCCGATCCTGTCTCCGCCCAAACCCAACGCGCATTCCCCGAAAAGACAGAGAAACCCCCCCAAAGATCGCAATAATCCTCAAGCGCCTGTGTCCCAGTGCGAGGAGCTGCGGCTGTGGTCAAAGTGAAGTTCGTTCTCCGCTCACGGACCTGTTGCGCACTTGGACTGTACATGTGCAGAGACGTAGCTGCAAACTCAGGGCCGCGCTCACAGGCCTCCCTTGCATTGTCTCTCTCTCTCTCTCTCTCTCTTTAGTCTCTCTCTCTCTCTCCCTCTCTCTCTCGCTCTCTCACATAGTCTCTCTCTCTTTAGTCTCTCTCTCTCCCTCTCTCTCGCTCTCTCTCATAGTCTCTCTCTCTTTAGTCTCTCTCTCTCTCTAATCTCTCTATCTCTCTCCCCTTAGTCTCTCTCTATTTAGACTCTCTCTTTCTCTGTAGTTTGTCTCTCTCTCTCTCTAATCTCTCTATCTCTCTCCCCCTAGTCTCTCTCTATTTAGACTCTCTCTTTCTCTAGTCTCTCTCGCGAGTCTTCCTCTCTCTTAGTCTCTCTCTCTCAAGTCTCTCTCTTTAGTCTCCCTCTTGTGACAAGACAGAGACTAAAGGGAGAGAGAGAAAAGTATTGACTCTCTCTAGTCTCTCTCTCTTTGTATCTCTCTCACACTCTAGTCTCTCTCCATCGCGACGTGGAGAAGCAGCGGCTCTACTCCGAGCTCCTCACCCTATCTTTAAGGGAGCAGCCACTCTGCAGGGGAAGCTCATGTGCGCCGCTTCCTTTCGGTCATTACCCAAAGCTCATGACCAGAGGTTATGGGTGCATGGGAAAAGAGAGCTCTGACTACTGACGCTGCTCCCTGTTCACCACAACAGTTAGACAGCTGACTGACTCTTCAGCCTCAGTCCTAGATCTACAGTCTCAAACCCTAGATCTACAGTCTCAGTCCTGGATTTACAGCCTCAGTCCTGGATCTTCTCTACAGCCTCAGTCCTGGATCTACAACCTTAGTCCTGGGTCTCATCCCGCTCCCTATGGACCAATGACTGTTATGTGTTTGTTATTGCATTTTCTGTGTTCAAAATACTTGATTCTCTAATCTGTTGTTGGCAAATCTACAACTACTGAGACGACTGCTGTGATTTCTCGGCGACGATACACAGACACATAAATAACTAATTATATATCATGGACAGGAAACTTGAGTGTGTCGAAGGAAAACGGGTAAAACAAGTGCATCACATCCCCTTTAACCTTTGGTTCATATCCGGGGGTCATGAGACTGCAGCTCCGGTCGTGTAGAACCATGATTCAGTGCGGAAACCATGCGCGCTTCCGTGACTGAAGTGGTTTAAGGACGTCCCCCGCGGGCCCGGACCAGTGCTTTTTTACGCTGGTGCTACACATCAGACATTGAGCTGAAGACCTTAAACGCGGACTTGTTACTTCTTGTTGAAGAACTAACTTTAGATCCGCGCTTCGTAACGTGTGACGTCATCCAGATCTTGGGGGACATTTCGAGATGAGAAAGAGCAAAGTGGAGAAAGGAGGCTCTCTCTCTCTGGTCTCTCTCTGGTCCCCTTTCCGGTCTCTCTCTGCTCTCTTTCTTTCGCTCTAGTTTCTCTCTCTGGTCTCTCTCGCTATAATCTCTGGTCTCCCTCTCTCTGGTCTCTCTCTATGGTCTCTCTCTTAGCTCTCTCTCTCTCTGATCTCTTGCTCTCTGGTCTCTCTCTCTCTGGTCTCTCTCTCTCTTCTCTCTTTCTGGTCTTTCTCCCATAGTCTCTCTTTCTGGTCTCTCTCTCTGGTCTCTCTTTCTGGTATCTCTCTCTCTGGTCTCTCTTTCTGGTATCTCTCTCTCGCTTTTTCAGACAGAACAGTGATAAATCAGCCCAAAGAGTCAAATAGTGACTTTTTTCTTACATATGAAAAAAGAACATATTTCCTCAGTAAAAGTTCCACATGTATGTAACATATGAAAGATTCACGCGGTTGGACAAACTACATGTGTCTATATTATATGTATTGACAGAGGAGCTCAGTAGTGAAACACCTCCCTCTGGTGGTAGAAGTGGGAACACATTGAAATCAAGTTATTTTCTAGAATATTCAGTTTTTTATTCAATAATATAAACATTGAGGTTTTTCTATGAAAGCTGTTCCTGGGTTCCTTCTGCAGTGGTCTCCTCCTGCTCCTCTTCCAGCTCCTCTTCCTGCTCCACCTCCTCATCCTGGTCCTCCTCCTCCTGCTCCTGCTCCTCCTCCTCTTCCTGCTCTTCTTGGTCCTCCTCTGGGTCTGGTTCTGGGTCCTCGTTGGTCCTGTAGGAGCCTGTGTTCCGGTACTTGAGCCACAGCAGCAGCAGAACAGAGAGGACCAGCACCGTGATGAGACCACACAGCCCTGAGCACAGAGAGACCAGAGAGAGACCAGAGAGAGACCAGAGAGAGACCAGAGAGACCAGAGAGAGACCAGAGAGAGACCATGAGACCAGAGAGAAACCAGATTGAGACCAGAGACACCAGAGAGAGACCAGAGAGAGACCAGAGAGAGACCAGAGACAAACGAGAGACCGAGACCAGAGAGAGACCAGAGGTAGAGACCAGAGAGACACCCGAGAGAGACCAGAGAGAGACCAGAGGGAGAGACCAGAGGGAGAGACCAGAAAGACACCAGAGAGAGACCAGAGAGAGACCAGAGAGCAACATCTGAAGTCTATTGAAGGTTGTGACTTATCGATCTATTTTCTTTTTCAAAGTGTCACCTGTGATCAGAACCACTCCTCCACTGGTTACGGCACCTGCACAACAGCAACATGAGACAAACTGAGTCTCACAGTACACACACACTTACACACACACACACACAAACACACACATGTGTCTGTGTGTTTTATCAGTGGGGGCACAGAGCTCTGGGCGACGCCCTTGGGCCCCTGATAACACACACACGCTTCTGGACCCGCTGCCACTTGCTTCATCTTAATTTATTTATTATTTAGTCATTCATTCGAGAAAATATTTACTCGGCTGGTCTAGTCTGAGGTCTGGTTTGTCTAGTCCAAGGCCCTGCTGGTCTAGTCTAGATCCTGTGTGCTCACCTGTTCCCAGCGGGGGTGTCTCTGCGTGGGTCAGTCCTGGGGAAGGCTCGGTCGTAACCCCCAGATAGTCCCAATTATCTGGGTACGGATAGGCCACGTGCCCCCCCCCAAGGGTCTTCACAAACGTTGGATATTGAGACGATTCATGGTTCTCGTACTCCTGGTGCCCGTGGTCCTGGTCCGGGGCCACGCTCACATCCTGCTCCATCACCAACACTTCCACTGGACCAAAGAAAACATGTCAATAACTGTGAGTAACTGAGACCAGAGAGAGAGATCAGGAGAGAGACCAGAGAGAGACCAGGGAGAGAGAGAGATCATGGAGGGAGACCAGAGAGAGAGACCAGAGAGAGAGATCATGGAGGGAGACCAGAGAGAGAGACCAGGAGAGAGACCAGAGAGAGAGAGAGATCATGGAGAGAGACTAGGAGAGAGAGAGACCAGGAGAGAGACCAGAGAGAGAGAGAGATCATGGAGAGAGACTAGGAGAGAGAGAGACCAGGAGAGAGACCAGAGAGAGAGACCAGAGATAGACCAGGAGAGAGACCAGGGAGAGAGAGAGATCATGGAGGGAGACCAGAGAGAGAGACCAGGGAGAGAGAGAGATCATGGAGAGAGACTAGGAGAGAGATAGACCAGGAGAGAGACCAGAGAGAGAGAGATCATGGAGAGAGACCAGAGAGAGAGACCAGGAGAGAGACCAGAGATAGACCAGGAGAGAGACCAGGAGAGAGACACGGGAGAGAGACTAGGAGAGAGACCAGGAGAGAGACCAGAGAGAGAGACCAGGAGAGAGACCAGAGAGAGAGAGATCATGGAGAGAGACCAGGGAGAGAGACCAGGAGAGAGACCAGAAAGAGAGATCATGGCGAGAGACCAGAGAGAGACCAGGAGAGAGACCAGGAGAGAGACCAGAGAGAGAGAGAGATCATGAAGAGAGACCAGAGAGAGACCAGGAGAGAGACCAGGAGAGAGACCAGGGGAGAGACCAGAGAGAGAGAGATCATGGAGCGGGACCAGAGAGATTGAGAGATCAGGGAGGGAGAACGGGGAGAGAAACCAGAGAGAGAGACCAAAGAGAGAGACCAAGTAAATAAGTGTCACTCACCTCTGTGTCAGGGGCTACAGACAGCCCAGCCCCAGACTCAGACCAGAGTCTTGGGGTGCGGCAGCCCAGCTCAACAGCCAATCAGGAGTCAGTATTCTGGCACCTTATCATGACATCACAGACTCTTTACTTGTCTTTAATCAAAAAATATTCAGCATTTATTATGAACTTTGGATGCATTTCTTTGTCAGCGTTAGCAGGATGCATCTCCAGAAACTCGTAGTGCTGTTTGGTTTCCATGGATACATTAATCTTTTGTCTGTGATCAAATGACATTAAGGGAATATTTTACAACACAGAATGGGGACCAGCCAGAACATTTTGTTGAGGAAGCAGTTGAAAATCATATCTTCAGATCAGAGAAATTCCCAAGACTGCTTTTTTAAGGATTAAAGTTAAGTTCCTGCAATACTACGTGCTCTTGGACTGGAGCTGGAGGGTTGTATCTACAGGAAACCGCTCTGTGCATTTGGAATGAGTACTACACCTCCACCTCCTCAGGAACAGAAGTTATTTAATTTAAAACAAAAACATTATTACAACAACATGATCTTGAATGGTTCAGGTCACATTCCTTGAGATATGACCTGAGAGAAAGTTAGGATGTATATTGCTATTGCATTCCTCTTCATGGCCACATGAGGGCGCTGTTTAGGAAGAGGTTTCACGTTCAGACGAGCTACAACCACTATATCTTTCCACAAAACACCACTAATTTTGTTTATTTTGAGAGAGTTGCAATATAAACGTATCACTGATGTTTTCATACAATACACACCCCGAGTGTTACATTAGATTTCATTTCATATTCGTTATTTAAGTTAAAAGTAATAATTATGGTAAAGCCCTCTAGAATCTATCTAAATGTTTTGCAGTTCTTCTATTCAACCACAAGGCGTCGCCACTCTAACTGTGTGTGCTCCATCCTTGCAGAGAGCGCAGCCGACACGTACTGGGAGACTATATGTTTATTGTTTAGCAAAATGTAAATTGTATTAAACCGGAATATCATCATTACAGTGTGCAACAGATGCATTTGGGCGCAGTTACAGAGCCCTTCTTCTCCGATGCAGACATTTTTACTTTCTTAAAATAATACACAGAATAATACTACATTTATTGATAGTAATATTGCACTATCCATCACTTACTCACAGTCCTCAAATCAAAGAAAGTATATTAGATCCATGCCTCAAATCCTAAATATTCGCTACAGAAAGTTTGGTTGGTAGTCACTATGGTAACCGGAGCTGAAGTTAGCTTAGCTGCGCACCTGAGCTAACGTTAGCATGACCACTCCTACTGTTTGTCACATAATTATACATTATTTACACCTGCCCTAGCATAATAAACATTTTGATGACATACATGGAAACAAAGCAGATACATACAAACTTCACATCAATAGAATTATACAAAATATAAACGTCAAATGTCAATTGATAATAGATGATTTTATGTCGTCATTAAGTTGTCATATTTAAAATTGTTCGTCCAGTTTAATCCAGAACTCAAAGGAACCCTAATAGTATAAAATATAAGTTTTTCATTGAAATAATAAAAATAAAAATAAAAAAATAAAAAATAAAATTACGTTTTTTTTTCTTGAGTTGTGACTCAGCTTCTCCTTGCTCCTATTCACTCCCCTGCTCCTCCTCATTCCCCTCTTCATGCTTCTTCTCATTCCCCTCTTCATGCTCCTCCTCATTCCCCTCCCCCTGCTCCTCCTTCTGCTCCTTACACTGCTCCTCCTCATGCACCTCCTTATGCTCCTCCTCATGCTCCTTCCCCCGCTCCTCCTCATGCTCCTCCTTCTGCTCCTCTCCCTGCTCCTCCTCATGCTCCTCCCCCTGTTCTTCCTCATGCTCCTCCTTGCTCCTCTATGGGGGCCACCATATTTCCTGATGATAAATGTAGTTCTTGAGTCCAGAGGAGGTGAGCTGCAGTAAAACCCTGGCAGCCTCTTGGACCTGCTCCTTCAGTCAGACAGGACACAGACAGGGCTCGTGACCCGGTGACACGTGTTATAAACATGTAGATAACGTGTTACGTATAATATGTTTGTTTGACTTGTCAGTTATGAATCAGAGCTGCTTTTGTTAATGAAGCTAAAGCTAAAGTCCTAAAAACGTTATTACGTAAAATATATCACTGCAGAAGTAATCTATTCCCACAGAAGTTACTCATGCTCCTGCTCATGATGGCCGCCCTCCTCCCCGTGCTCCTCATGCTCCACCTCGTGCTCCTTGTGCTCCTCATGCTCCTCCTCATGCTCCTCCTCATGCTCCACCTCGTGCTCCTCATGCTCCTCGTGCTCCTCATGCTCCACCTCGTGCTCCTCGTGCTCCACCTCGTGCTCCTTGTGATCACGTTGGAAGAAGCCATGGCAGCAGACGGTCACCGTGGTAACCAGCGTCATGAACTGCCTGAAGTCCCAGAGGTCGTCTCCGTCCTGGTCCAGAGCCTCCATCACACTGTGCAGAGCGGCCTCCGACGCCTGCTGCAAACAACCGGAACAAGTCACATCCAAAATCTAAATATGCGTCGGACTGTGACGTCAGCGGACAGTTGCATCCCTCGCTCTTTTGAATGTTCTGGAAAACAGCAGCAGGTCCTAAGTAGCTCTGAAACAGTTGTTGTTTTGTGCTTTGTAAATTTCATTTTTTTGCTTCTTTCTAACTGAGATATTGCTGCAGTACAGTGTTCATGGTCCAGACTGGAGCAGAGAGGATTTATGGTGCGAACCAAGTGGATCAGATGAAAATCCACTGGAGGAATGCTAACTTTAAAAAAAAAATGCTAATGAAGCATTCAGCATTTCACTTTGAACTAGAGCAGAGAAAGTGCTCCGAACCAAGCGTCCTGCTCCACCTAGAGACTACTCCACCTCTGCTGCTGTGACCTGTCCTGCTCCACTCAGAGGCTACCCCACCTCTGCTGCTGTGACCTGAAGGGCTGTTGCTGATTATTTCTATTGTTAGCTTTTTAGAATCAATTTTATTTTTTACTTTTGCTGCTACTGGACACCTGAATTTCTCCGACGGGGATCAATAAAGTATCTATCTATCTATCTATCTATCTAGCGATTGGGCAACACAGTGGCCTGGGTTCGAATTAAGGTCAGAACGGGGTCTTTCTGAGTGGAGATGCATGTTCTCTCTGTGTCTGCGTAGGTTTGAATGTTATGTTATGAAGTGAAAGAAGAATGACATGTGAAGCATCTTTGAGTGTCTATTATTATTATCATTATTGTTATTAACCCTTCAGGCGCCATGTTTTTCCAAAGGGCTCAATTTCGAAATTCTTAATAACGTAAAAATGATATGAGATAGAGGCTTTATGTAAATTAGTGAAATTATAAGAATGGCACAAAGTGTATTTAGGTATGACCTGTACCCATCTAATTTGAATATTATGACTTCATATGGAGGTGGCAATCGCGGATTTTCATAAAATTTACATATTATTTTCTGACAGACACACAAATCACTGGGACATGAACACACAAACACCTAAAGGGTTAATGAGTGAGGAATTGGGTGGTGTTGCTTTATTAATAATACAGTAATATTATAGTTTTTATTATTGCATTTCCTGTGTATGAACTGTTTAATTCTCTGATCTGTTGTTGATAAATCCACAACTTTGTAAACTCTGTAAACTGTTTTACGGCAATACATAAATAAATAAATAGAATCCAGCATTGGGCATGTGGAGCGGGTTTGGATTGGATTTGATTTGATTTGATTTTATTTTATTTAGGGAAAACACCTTGAGTTGCAGCGGCTCATTTTCGAGAGGGTCATAACATAAAACAAACACAATACATATCATACAACACAATACAAATCAAAAACATGTAAACAATTAAAACGCACACAGGACAGGTCTGCTCCTTCAGATCCCACTCCACCTCATACACTTAAAATACATTCAGAAAACATCATTTCTGTATGAAATAGATTAGTATTGCGATAACGATATTATTGCAATATTTTTGTCTTTCACCTAAAATTGCAATCCGCATTTAAACACAATAGACAAATAACAAAAAATAAGCACAACATTTATGACATTCAAATGCATATATTTATATACTTATTTGTTCATGTTGAATGTTGATGTGTCTGTCTTTTGCTGTCTTTTTTAAATATTGCATGTACCAATATCACGATAACGATATTTTTTGATAAACAGTACCGTGCAGCCCTTATACATACAGCAGCCGGTAGAATAATACAACTTCAAATGTACATACAGGTATTACAAAATAATAAAAATAATAATAAAAAACTAGTAACATGAATAAGGAGTGGTGAGATATTTAGATAATTCTGATTTAAATAAGCCAAAGAAGGTTGAGGATCTTATGTATGTGGGTAACTGCCAATCAGATGGAGCCTTGTGTTGATGAATCTCTACATCCGACTTCGTTTTTTTGATTCTTGGGACAGAAAACTTACTTCCATGAGGTGGGGCAGCTCCTCCCGCAGCAGCCCCCTGAGCTGGCTCCTCTTCAGCTGGGGCGGGTCCTCCTGTGAGCCGCAGTGCTTCTGGAACACATGGACCAGGCTGTTCAGGGCGCTCTCCAGATCCGTCATGGTCTCTCTGTGGACGGACACATGCACTGGTCACACCCTGCTGGGCTCAAATCCCAAACCCTGAAACTTCTACTTTGGAAAACAAAACAAAAACTACTATAAAAAACGTACACATGCACAGTCCCGGTAGCTACCGCATCTTAATGTGATCTTTCTTTATGTTGCATCTATCTGCTGTTGGAAAGAACTACGCAGACATGGGGAGAACATGCAAACTCCACACAGAAAGACCTTGAGGGGGATTCAAACCCAGGACCTTCTTGCTGCGAAGCTAACCACTAGATTAGTCATTGGCAATATCACTTGTAATGTAATGTAATCTTTTATTTATATATCGCCTTTTCACTGCACATCGGAGTCTCAAAGCGGTTTACAATTGTTATTTTTGGGAGTGGGGGTCGCCAGAACAGGAGGCACATGCCAGACCTATTGTACATATTTTTAGTGGTAGGGGAAACCGGAGCACCCGGAGGAAACCTACGCAGACACGGGGAGAACATGTAAACTCCACTCAGAAAGGCCCTGGTCCAACTTGTTTTAAAATGCTTTGAAAGTTGCCTAAAGAAGCTTACAAAGTGGGTTTTATGTATTTATTTATGAAAATAGAAGCATAGCTAACCACTTCAAACCTGTATTGTCAACTTAGAAGCAAGAGGAAAAGAAAGTTTTAATAAAAATGTCTAAATAAAAGATAATTAACTTGTGTTTGTGGATCCTACCTCAGCTCCTGCAGATGGAAGAGTCTGGTCAGATGGAGCGGTCAGTGGAGGGGCCCAGGGACCAGGGGGAGCACTTTTATCAGGGGTATGTGAGCCTCAGCCAATCACAGACCAGGGTTGGCTCTCCCCACTCTTTCGTGGTTTGCCTCTCTCCACTTAACCCTGGAGTGATGTGCTCTGGTCTGCTCCACTTGTGACCGACCTGGAGTAGTGTTTTATCGTCCCCCCGCCCCTTCTGCCCAAAAGTGTTCAAACTTTTACTTCACAAAGAATCGTGAGATTGTGACTTTTTCTGACTTTTAAAAAACGAAAATATTATATTAGTTTCTCCAATAATGTTTCTTGTTAATTAGAACTAACCTGAGCTTAGAAGGACGGCTAGCCTCTTCAAACCTGTATTGTAAACTTAGAAGCACGGCTAGCCTCTTCAAACCTGTATTGTAAACTTAGAGGCCAAGCTAACCACATTAAACCTGTATTGTAAACTTAGAAAGCTAACCACATTAAACCTGCTAACCTAACCACATTAAACCTGTTTTGTAAACTTAGAAGCAAAGCTAACCACTTGTGTTATGAACTCAGTATCTGGGCTGCTGCTGTTTGCATGCAGAGCGCCAGCAGCTCTTGTGTGCTCTTTGTCCCGCTGCGTCGCCACGGAAACGGCATCCCCAAATGCCCCACGCAGACACGGGTCCTCGAATGCCCCGAGAAGGCCGAGGCCCGTCGCCGTGGTTACCCTCGGAAACACGCCATGAGTGAGAGTGACCTCACCACCGTGACTAAGGACGACTCAAGTCAGTGTTGATCCTGGTCCTGGCCACAAGAGCTGACCAGCACCAGGACAAAGACCAATACTTTGACCAGGACTAGGACAGGTACCAGGACAAGTACCAGGATCAGGACCAGGATCATTACTTTGATCAGGACCAGGACTAGGATCAATATTTTGACCAGGACCAGGGCCAGGATCAACATTTTGACCAGCGCCAGGGTCTGTCCAGAGCTGGTGCTGAGGTCCACAGAGATCAGTCTGTGATGTTTCACTTTGATTCTTTTTGACTCACATTAAACACTCGTTGTTCCTGTTGTTCTCTGTAAATCCCTTTTTTTAATCAATAATGTATTTTTCCAGAAGTACCCCATCATTGAGTTCTAGGAAGTGCTGTTTTAGAATTTCCTTTATTTCTTTGAGCAAAAATACCAAAATAAATTATATCATAAAAGCCATGTTTCTTGTCACATCAAATACAAATCAAATGAATGTAGCTTTGTGGCCGTCACAAATGAAAATGTCTGAGAATGTCCTGTGACTACAGGCCCTGCAGGTAGTCGGGCTCCTCTTGCTCCAGGTCGCACAGTTTGACCGAGGATCCGAACAGCAGCTGGAGCCCGGGCACTAGGGGTTGTGCAAAGTCCGCCCTGAACGTGTGCAATAGAACCGGCTCGTCCTGGTCCTGAGTCACGGCATAGAACTCCAGCAGCCCCGCCGGGACGTCCACGAAGACCGCTACTCTGCCCCGGGACGAGGCCGAGAACCCCAGGAGCGTGTGCTTTCCCTGGTGCGTGACCGCGAACCCTCCCTGGGTGCAGGTCAGTCCCCAGGAGTCGGGCCCCGTGCCGAAGCCGCAAACGGAGGTATTACCCTTGCGCGTCAGGCTGGGGTAGCAGAGGCCCACGGTCACTTTCCCGGTCCACTCCAGTTCCCAGTAGGAGCGCTCGTATAGCTCCTGTGCGCACAAAAGCTGGGGGCATTTGTCAAAGCGGGCGTTGCCGTCGGCGTAGTCGTGGTCTTGCTGAACGTGGAGTGCCTGGGTCAGGTCCCGGGACAGCCGCAGGTGCCGGTAAGCCGTGTCGGGGTCCATGGTGAGCCGAGTGAAGTCTGATGGAGAAACGTAAGACAAGAGAATTAGAAAGAAGTCAGGACCCTTTGAGTTTGTGTAGGAGCTAGTTACAGTATATTCTCAAACACCTGAGACACCATTGTGCCTCTCTACTTCTGTTCTCTCTCTCCCTGGTCTCTCTCTCTGGTCTCACTCTGGTCTCACGCTGGCCTCACTCTCTGGTCACTCTCTGGTCTCATTCTTTGGTCTGTCTCTCTGGTCTCACGCTGATCTCACTCTTAGGTCTCACTTTCAGGTCTCACTCTGGTCTCACTCTGGTCTCTCTCTCTGCTGTCTTGCTTGTTTCTCTCTGGTCTCTCACAGCCACCTGTAAGTCGTACTCACAGCGGATCTTCGGTCTCAGCCACTGGGCGCCCGCTGGCCTCAGTCTAAAAAACAAACATGGATTATTTAAAGGACACATGAACAGAAAAAGGAGAAAAACTCTCTCACAAAACCTTCTGTTCTGAACCATTTCAAGTTCTAAACGTGAATATCCAAGGTCATGTTATTGGGGCAATATGAAAACCACAAATTTAACAGACAATATGTTAAGTTTTTTTACTCTTTTTCCATTAAACATGCATTCTATCACAGAGAGGCGTACATGAGAGTTTGCAGAGGGGAGTGGGGCGCCCCCTGGAGGCCACTCAGCTGCAGCACTGCAGAGGCTCCAGGGTGGTTTCTGCTCAGGTCCAACAGGGACAGCTGGTTCTGGACAGAGGTCAGTGCGGAGACCAGGGACAAGCACCCGTCCTGAGTCAGATAACAACCGGCCAGCCTGCAGAAAGGACATAGAGAGGTCAGAGAGAGACCAGAGAGAGACCAGAGAGAGGGCAGAGAGAGGGCAGAGAGAGACTAGAGAGAGACCAGAGAGAGATCAGAGAGAGGGCAGAGAGAGACCAGAGAGAGACCAGAGAGAGGCCAGAGAGAGACCAGAGAGAGACCAGAGAGAGACCAGAGAGAGGCCAGAGAGAGACCAGAGAGAGGCCAGAGAGAGACCAGAGAGAGACCAGAGAGAGACCAGAGAGAGGCCAGAGAGAGACCAGAGAGAGACCAGAGAGATTTGAGAGGAACAAGAGAGGCCGGAGAGAGACCAGAAAGAGACCAGAGAGAGACCAGAGAGAGAGGCCTGAGAGATCAGAGAGAGAGACAGGAATGTCAGAGAGGTCAGATCTACTGTATATTTTTTATTGAAGAGACAAGCACAGACTGATTCAAACTAAAAACTATATTAGATAAATGTGAACGAATCAGTTGACATTTGAGTCTGTGAGTGTGTGAGTTTGTGTGTGTGTGTGTGTGTGTGTGTGCGCGCGTGTGTGAGCAGTCTACCGGAGGTGTTGCAGTCTGCAGAGGTGACTCCTGAGGGCCAGGGCCAGTAGCCTCAGTCCTGGGTCTCCGAGGGGGTTAAAGCTCAGGTCCAGATGTGTGAGAGAGCAGGAAGAGGTGAACATCACACACAAGGCCTTACAGCTCTTCTCCGTCAGGTCACAGCCACTCAGCCTGGACACCACAGGACCATACAATGTTTTAGAGAAGTCCGACTAGGATATATTTTGATAAATCAGCCTGCTCAGCTCTGGAGAGGTCACTCACACAGCCCGGGACGAGGTCTGGACCACAGGCAGCAGCCGGAGCAGCACGTCCTCTGAAGCACCGTACTTCTTCAGCTCAAACACGTCCTGGCGATGGGACGTGAGCAGGAGGAAGACCAGAGCGGCCCACTGGCTCTGGGACATCCCTTCCCCAACGGGACGTCCCGATGTCAGGACGTGCTGCATCTGCTCCACCAGGCGGCGCTCCTGCAGATCCACAGAGAAGAGTCGTGAAGTAGAAACAGCAGAGTGAGAGCTGAGCCACTCACCTTCAGCTCGCTCAGGCAGTGGAAGATGGCCTCGCTCCTTTCCACGCTCACGGACCCCTCCTCCAGCCGGCGAAGAAGGTAATCGGCCGTCTTCTGGGGCGCTCTGGGGCCCGAGCGAGGACGTCCCAGCAGCCCCCGGAGCAGCTCCTGGTTGGAAGGCACAGACAGACCTGTGGGGAAGGTTAGAGCAGTTTAACTAGGAAAAGTATCAAGAAAAGTAAAAGTTTTGGTTTTGAGTAGTCTGAACCATAGACTGTGCTCATAGCTCAATGAGGCCAATCAAGAAGTGCTCATGGAGAATTTTCTGTTCCAGCTCTGGCTCCTATTGACTTAAATTAAGTAACTCCTCTAGCTCAGTAACTATTTGTGTCACACACCTTTATGAACATAGAAATACGTATATGGTTTAGCGCTCCCTTGTGTTTATATTGTGATATTGTCTTTGTAAATCCAAAGATGAGCCATACAAAGAGGCTGGGCTGGTACTGTTATAGAAATATATACCCCATGAAGGAGAAAACTCAAAGGTCCTTTGTCTGATCAAAAGCGTAAGTTTATTGTTAACGCACAGTGCGGAGAGTCAGCATATGCACACAAAGGCAGCATGCTCAGCTCTGGGGGCCAGAGCCCCCAGCTTCCTGTATACAAGACACACACCAAAGATAGTCACGCCCACAACGGAGCGGAGGGGGCCACCGGTGAGGAGGCGCACAGGAAGCGCCGGCGCCATCCCCTGTGGTGGCAGTGGCATGGGGTGTGAACAGACAGACAATGGTGGAAATGCAGGTCATACAGATGCAAGACGGAAAGACACAAGGGTGTGACAGACAGCAGGGACCTTCACAAAGCTCAGCATGGCGTCAGAAGGTCGTCTGCATTGATAAAAGGCCTTTGACGTCCGTGTATTTGCTGCGGCTGGTTTTATGTAATTACTCCAAAAACTGTCACCACACTCCCCTCTTTTGATAATTCAAAACCATTTTTGCATTAATCAGTTAAATACCAGAGGCATCGTAATCACACCACCTTCAAGCTTGAAACACTTAAATTATTGCTGTCCAAAGTGGACAAGAAAAGACACATGCTTGTCAATAAAAGAAAGAGCACATTATAATAACACAATGGATCCGGACAGCGATAAGAGAAGGCAATATTAACATAATAAACACGGTCAGCACGGAAAGTAGTGTCAGTGTGGCCAGCATAACAGTCCAAGGGCCCATGCCGGTCTACGTTCGGTAGTCTTTTCCGCGGGAATACTCACGAGCAGTGCCGTCTCGCAGTCAGTGGCACCGCTCCCTATGAGCGTGTGTGGAGCGTTAGTGGTCATGGCGATGTTTGGTCTTGGAGCGGCAAGACTCTATTTGCGTTGAAGCCTTGGCCTCAGCACTCGGTTGGGCAGAGTGCTCGGGGTTTGGGGTGTGGCGACCATGGCTTGAGCACGCTCCAGATCGGCCAGGCCCAAAGCTCGTTTGATGGGAGACCTCATGACAGCACGCTTCACCATGTGCCTCATCAGGAACTGTAGAGCAGCCCTCATCTCCACCTCCTCCGGACACACGGGAGACGAGACACCAGGGGGCACTCCAGCAGAGCTCCAATCTGCATTATGGCCAGAGGGAGCAGGCTCTGGAGAAATCTTTGGAATGAGCAGCAGCTCTGCATACTTGCTGCGGCTGAGCAGAGCGCTCAGGGCCTTCATGGCTCCCAGGCCTTGGGGTCCGGGGGCTGGGGAGTTGGGCAAAGGGGGGTCGCCTCGGGAACGCTGGGAATCTCTGGGTGTTGTTGTTGGCCTGCTTCACCGATGGTGGTCGCACGCCGGCAGACCTATTCAGCGTAGGGAGCCGCGGATGGGCCTGGTCCGTCCGCGCCCTCGGTGTCCTCGTCTATGGCCCTCAGTGGCAGCACCGCACGACAGTGGTTGGCGTGGATCCAAGTTGTCCTCTCCGCGACCTTAACGGCAGTGTCTGTCACCAGGAGGGCGAGGAATGGACCGAGCCAGCGCTTGGACCGCCAATGTTGTCGTCTCGTTTCCTTCACCAGGACTCAGTCGCCTGGCTTGATCCTGTGCAGAGCCGCCTGCGCAGCCTGTGGCAGGGCGCTCCTGACCTGGGCAGAAATAGAGGACAAAAGTGCATTAATTACCTTACAATAGGACAGCATGTCGTCATCACACAAAGAGGTGCTTGGCAGATCTCTGTTCGGGGGTCCCGCGCCCAACGTGGGGCTAGCGGCAGAGCTTTGAGTGCCATTCTCTCGCTCGCACGTGCCTCCGGACCAGGGGGCGTAACTGCAGTGTTTACGTATATCAATGCCCAGAAATTCACCCACTTCCTCAATGACTTTTGCTACAAAGTGACTCACCACCGCGTTACTCGTGGCGTGTATGCCTGCAAATACTTCAGTCCATTTGGACCAGAGATCCGCCAGACCCAGACAGTATTACTTACCTTGGCATGGTGTGAGTTCAACAAAGTCCCTTTGGACATGTTGAAATGGGCGCAGGGGCGGAGGATGAGCAGCCTGTTGGATACTTTTGGGACTTACCTGGGTTGTGCGCGGGGCATATAGCGCATGTTTGGCTGAATCTCTGTGCAAATGCCGTAAACCCCTTTGTATACCAATTTTGTGTGATTAAATCACACATCATCCCTCCTTTTGAGGCATGGTCTCGACCATGTGCTAAAATTGCAAACTGTCTGAAGAAATGCCGTGGTAGGCACGGTTTGCTGTCTGGTCCCAGCCACACACACCATGCCGTCGTTGAGCCCCATTCCCCTCTTACGGCAGCGTCTCTGCTGGAGTAGAAAATATCAACGTCTTGAGTGAGGTAGTGTGTGTGTGTGTGTAGAGGTGCGTATGCCGCTGCCTTGTCCGCGCGCCGATTCCCTGCAGAGATGGGATCAGTGGCATTAGTGTGGGCCTGGCATTTGCATACAGCGATCTCTAAGGGCAACATTACAGCTTTCAGCAGACGTTCAACCTGTGTGGAATTAAGAATTGGTTTACCATCAGATTTCATAAAATTGCGGTGTTTCCACAGTGCTTCCCAGTCGTGCACCACAGAGAAACCATAGCGCGTATCACATAATATGTTAACAGTTTTGCCCGCTGCCAGCTCACAAGCCCCGGTGGGCGCGACCAGCTCAGCGGTTTGTGCTGAGTGGTAGTGGGGCAAACTACCAGAGTCTATAGTATCAAAATCAGAACACACAGCATAGCCGACTCGGTTCTTCCCAGTGTTGTCACGTGACGCGGCTCCGTCTGTATAAAAAAAATCAAGTCAGGATTAGTCAGAGGCACCTCTTTCAGGTCTGGCCTGGGAGTGCATCTCTGCTCTATTGTGGCGATACAGCAGCGTGCCTCCCCTTTGTACCCCAGCCAACGAGCCGCAGAAAGGTGAGAGGCCCTCTGCTCTAACAGGATCAGGGAAACAGCATGGGGCACAAGCAAAGTTAGTTCAGTGTATCCCTCAAGGTCACGTGATGCTAGGGCCGCTTTCTCAGCGGCAGCCACAGCCCGCAGGCAGCGAGGCAACCCTGCTGCCACGGGATCGAGTTTTGCTGAGAAGTAAGCAGTGGGTCTCAGTGGCCCTCAGTGAGGCTGCAAAAGTACCGACTGTTCCGTTCATCTCCAGTTGCTTTTCTCCCGGATCGTCCTCAATTCATATTGTGGGCTTTTGTGCCAAAGTGGAGGCTCATTTCCTCCTGATCCATACTACTGTCATCCCTGGAGCAGGGGTAGTTTATCTCTCATCTGAAAAAGAAATATCAGAACACAAAAAAAAAAAAACACAAAAAATGCCCACTTTCGCTTGTCAATCTTTTTCCCAATTGGGCAAAACATAACTGCATTGACAGACGGTGTTTGGCATCAGGGCGGAGGCTGTAGCCAAATACAGACTTAACAAAATGTATGTTTCTAATTTTATACTTCCCTAAATGTGAGTTTACAAACCAAGTTGTCCTTCAACCAACGACAGCTCACTGCGGTTGGACTGTGTCGCTGTCAGGACAAACAGCAGAGGCAGGAACTCCCAATATCTTCAGCGAGGTATTTCATCTCCGAGTACTTTCAGCAGAGTACTTTTCTCAGAGTACTCATCCCAGAGTACTCTCACTTTTACACCTGTTCAATAAAGCTTGTTATCTTTGAATCTCTAGTACTTACACCGTATGCTGTTGACAAAAAAATAATTATTCCATGATCACATTAAAACATTACAGACACATTTGTTATTCCATGATTCCGTTCAGCATTCCTCATTTCACACATCACACTCATATCACAGTCATATCACAGGCCGATTTCCCACGTTAGTATTTTGGTCCAGTTTGTTAAGGTCAGCGTAGTGTACTTTGACATGACACACAAACATATAACATGCACAAAACATATAACACACACAAACATATAACAACACAGAAGGCCTGTACTTTTAACTTTGTTATATTTTTCCATGTCCAATTCCAATTGTCTCATGAGCTATTTCTTATTGTTGCAACTTTCAGAGCCTGTAGAGCTTTAAAAGAGTTTTCCTAAAAGGATCCATTTCCAACTTTAGTGTTTACCACGTGGTCTATACTTCGGGCTTATCACAGATTGTGTCCCCTATATCTCTAATGAGCTCTTGTCACCTAAAAAAATGTTTATTTTCCTTATTTTTTTCTTTTTCAATAAAGCCAGGTCGGATTCATTAAAAATGTAAATTAGTCTCAAACTTTAATACTTCACCTTTGTTTCACGATAAAATGTTTTTGTTGCTCATTAAGTAGCACAGATAGTGGTGCCTATCTCAATAAACGTACTCCGTTAGCCTATCTTCCCTACACTGCATGAATTTTCAAACTCCAAGTTATTGTCTGGGAACGACCGGAGAGAGCAGCTTAGGTCGTTCGCGTGGTTGACCTCCAAATTTTGTGCGGGCGTAACTCTATTCACTTGTTGTGACTAATAACTTAGCAATCTCAGGGTTTGGTGTCAATTTCCAGTGGTAGTTAACTTTTGGGGCCGGTGCCTCCTTTTATTTATCTATTTTTAATTGAGTCTGCACATAAGGTCTCGGCCTAGTAGATTAACCGGGCACAATGGGGAATATAGAAAAGAATGTTTAAGCTGGTTGCCCTGAGAATCAAAACACGTTAGCGGTGACGTAAATTGCTCTTTAGTCGTCTCTCCGACGCTGCTAATTAGAATATGAAGCGGCCGCTCATTTTAGGGGAGACAGAAAGGCTGTCACTTTTAGCACAGAATTTGTTGCCCCGGAGTCATCCAGAATTTTAACTTGTACACCACAGGTTGTTAGCGTATATTACGGGCATGAATTATCTCTAAAAAGTGCCAATTGCAATTTGTTGTTGTTCAACTTACATGAGCGGTCGCTTTGGTGACGAATGTGAACCCAGGTTTGGTCAGTCGCTCGTGTTTCCTCCGTGCCCGCCTCTGCCGTCCTCTGGCCCCGTGTGTCTCTGCCTTTAACGCCTCCTCCGGTAACAGTCCTTCGACCCATGTCGAGCACACAGTCTTTCCGCCGGGCTGTGGAAGTTTTTCAAAGTCCGCAGGAGGCCCAGGTAGCCCAAAGCGTTAGCATGTGGTCCATGAGGGTTGGTGAATGACCCAAACGTGCCGGTACTTTTGGCTTCTTCTGTTTGCGGTGCGGGAACAACTTTCAAGCGGGTTTCCGCGGGTGCGTTTGGTATATCACGCTGCCCCCTCCGTGGAGAGCAGTCACGGGATTTGGAGCAGTTTGTCTCTGGCCTCCAAAGCAGTTGTCGGTGTCTCACATATCTGCTTCCCTCGCTTCTTCTTCTGTGGTTTCCTGAGCGTGTGTCTGTTTCCGCCTCTTCTTCTTCTGCGGTTTGGGCCCACTTCTCGCGGGGTCTCAGCTGGTGCGGGCGCCGCCTGTGGTTGGGGCGTGGGGCTGGTGCTTTGAGGCAGAGGACAGTGCGCGGAGGAAAGGCGCCGACAGACCTGGATAGGGAGAGGAAGAGGGACAACAGTAGTCTGCTCATTTTTTAAAAACCCAACGCCTTGTTTGGGTGCACACTTATTGTTAGTAGGGGAAAGAAGGGCGGTAGGGTGGGGGTGTGGGGGTGTGTGTGTGTGTCCGCCTGTGTGTTCTCCGCTTCGGTGAAGAGCGGAGGAGCTATTGTTTTTACATATTTCTTTCTCTAACCTCTTTTGCCGTGATATTCTTAAAACCAAGTATATATTTTTTTTTTCTTCCCTTCTTCTTCTAAATTATCACGCAGATGACCTGCACCATAGGCAAACACTTCACAGCTTGCATCTGTAGATTGATTTTACCCATTTTCTCGTACGAACAATGGGCCTAACCCGCTTAGTCTCTCCCTGCTCCTACCCACTTTGGGGCGCTCCGTTCCCCCCCCGCTGGTTCAACCAGCGAGCGCGCGCGTTCTTGAAAACGGAGCGGTTCTGGCTGAAGACACTTGGAGATTCCAGGGTCGCTTACAATGCGATACTAACGCGCAGCCGCTAGTTTCAATCTAGAACAAAAAGCCCCCCAAAAAATCCCGCACACAGACTATGCTGTGGCAATGAATGAAATACCCCAAAAATACATAAATAAACAAATCCCCGTGTACACTTAAGTGCTGCCCTGGGCTCGTTACGCAGATGAAAAGACAAGACTCACCAGATTAGGTTCTTTTTGGTCTTGTGTGGCAAAAGGATTCCTTCCGTGCGGGGGACGAGCGCGCCCTCCTTTGTCTCCAAAAAGGAACAGAGGCTGGTGATCCAGGTCGGCCAAACAAAGCCGCTCGTCCCCGCCGAAAGTATCCATGCCAAGACATGTCAGCAACGCCAAATTGTTATAGAAATATATACCCCATGAAGGAGAAAACTCAAAGGTCCTTTGTCTGATCAAAAGCGTAAGTTTATTGTTAACGCACAGTGCGGAGAGTCAGCATATGCACACAAAGGCAGCATGCTCAGCTCTGGGGGCCAGAGCCCCCAGCTTCCTGTATACAAGACACACACCAAAGATAGTCACGCCCACAACGGAGCGGAGGGCCACCGGTGAGGAGGCGCACAGGAAGCGCCGGCGCCATCCCCTGTGGTGGCAGTGGCATGGGGTGTGAACAGACAGACAATGGTGGAAATGCAGGTCATACAGATGCAAGACGGAAAGACACAAGGGTGTGACAGACAGCAGGGACCTTCACAAAGCTCAGCATGGCGTCAGAAGGTCGTCTGCATTGATAAAAGGCCTTTGACGTCCGTGTATTTGCTGCGGCTGGTTTTATGTAATTACTCCAAAAACTGTCACCACAGTACCAATCAAATGCCTGAAAACTCAGGCTATAGCCTTTGCGACCGTCTTAGCTCATGCATGAAGCTAACCAGTTGGAACAAATGCCCACTTATATCTATACAGACCCAAGAGGAAGCGAGTGAACAGGTCTCTGCTGGGGTTTCCTAACATCTGGTCCACCGCAGTCTGGTAGAATCTGTCGGAGCCACTATTCCGGAAGAAGACTGAGAAGATGGAGGCGGGCTCCTCGGACAGAAGGTTGACCCCTAGGCTGACAAACGACAGGTGGACGTGAAGAGCGGCCAGGAACACCTGCACGCTGACATGGACGAAGCAGAAGACCTGGTCCTGGTACAGTCCAGACTCCTCCCTGAACACCTGCCGCGGCGACAGCGTCAAAGGTCAAACAGCATCAGGAGATAGTTCAAATCCAACCTATTTCAGCACAACATGAATTTCTAGAGTCTGTTCTAAGACATCATCTCTAACCTGTGTGAAGACTCCGGAGTACAGGGTCGCTGCGGCGGGGTCCAGCCCACACTCGCTGAGATCCGATTCGTAGAAGTCGAGGTTTCCCGTGCGCAGCTGCTGAAAGGCCAGTTTTCCCAGAGCGTGAACAGTCCTGCAGGTCTCTGGGCTCCATGGGACGTCCGACTCAGAGCGGCCCTCATACTTCAGGCTCCGTTGTTTGGTCTGCACCACCAGGAAGTGAATGTACATCTCTGTGAGGGTCTGGGGCAGCTGCTCTGCGCCTGCAATGGTTCAGTGTTAGGTTGACCACACACTCACCAGCTCATCCAGGGGAATCCTGCTCCAGAGTCAGTCATAAGGGTTAGACCATATTCATCAATGGTGAATACACCCCTTATTCAGGCAGAGGTGAGGCAGAGGAGGTGAGGCAGAGGAGATGATGACCCCTTACCCCTTGTCTTTACCTTATTTGTTTCAATCGGTTCATGAGCTACCCCAGATATTCAGCTTGGGATACACCAGAGGAGATGATGCAGAGGTGAGGCAGAGGAGGTGAGACATAGGTGGTGAGGCAAAGGAGGTGAGGCAGAGGAGGTGAGGCAGAGAAGGTGAGGCAGAGGAGATGATGCAGAGGTGAGGCAGAGGAGGTGAGCCAGAGAATGTGATGCTGAGATGACAGAGGAGCAGAGACCTGTCCGGAGCACGTGCAGGAGGACGGTGGCCAGGATCCAGCTGAACAGAGGCAGCCGACAGAGGCCGTAGAGGCTCGGGCTGCTCCGGATGTGAGACAGGACGGCACTGGCCTGGACCGGGCTCCTGAACCTCACCCTGAAGTACGCCTCCCTCTGCTCCTCGCTGAACCCCCGCACCTCCGTCATCATGGAGACGCAGCGGGCGGGGATCCTGCCGGCCGCCGCGGGTCTGCCGATCAGCCAGACTCGGGCCCAGGGGAGCAGGTCGCCCCGCAGCAGGTTCACCAGGAGCTCGCCCAGAGAGGCGCTCTCCTCCACGTCCGAAATCGCTGGACTCTCGGAAAAGTCCAGCGGGATCAGGCTCTCGTCCAGTCCGTCCAAGATGAAGACCACATTCAAGCTGAGAGAGCAATAAGAAATATATTAGTTTACGGTCTTGGTCGAAGGTAACCTTTACTTCTTTATTATTGTCTATCTGGTGTACACAGGTGAAACCAGATCGCCACAGATAAACAAACAGAGAAAAAACTCATTTGTTTCTGTAATATACTGTAACTGTGAAAGAGAAATGTCTTCTATTCAATCTCTACATGCTACCGTTAGGTCAGTTGATACGCAGAAATCAAGTGTCCTATCACAACTATGCAGACGACACTCTATGTGACAACTATGATCTATGTCTCACTGACTGCAGGAGAACACTGACCAGTGGACTCACTCCTTCACTGTATCCAACAGATCAGTGAGTGGATGCCAAACAACTTTCTCCAGCTAAACGCAGGAGAAAGTCTTAAGTCCAGAAACAAAGAGAGAGTGTCATCTGTCACCTACAGTCTCTCTCCCCAAAACCTTCAAACCAGGTCAGAAATCTAGGGGTAATACTGGACTCAGACTTAAATTTTAATAGCCACATCAAATCAGTAGTAGCTTTTTACCACCTAGAACAATTGCCAGGATTGAAAACATAGTGTCTAAAGCAGACTTGGAAATTCTCATCCATGCATTTGTCTCCAGTAGGTTAGACTACTGCAATGGCCTGCTCCCAGGTCTGTCCAAACAGGCTGTAAAACAGCTGCAGTACATTCAAAATGCATCAGCACCAGAACCAGGAAGTATGATCACATTAGTCCTGACTAGAACCAGGAAGTACGACCACATTAGTCCAGTTCTCAGGTCTCTGCACTGGCTTCCTGTGGCTCAGAGAATAGACTTTAAAACAGCTCTGCTTGTGTTTCAGGAGCTGAAGGTGAGTGGCTCAGCTCTCACTCTGCTGTTTCTACTTCACGACTCCTCTCTGTGGATCTGCACCAAAATATATTAGTGACATGTTAGTCCCATATGAACCAGCCCGGACTCTGAGGAGCACAGGGACTGGACTCCTGTTAGTGCCCAGAGTCAGAACTAAACATGGGGAGGCTGCTTTTCAGATTCATGCTGCTAAAATCTGGAACAGTCTTCCTGAAGATGTGAGACAGGCCTCCTCTCTGACGATGTTTAAAACCAGGTTAAAAACAGTTCTGTTTAGCAGTGCATACAACTGAGGGATTTTATATTTTTATCTTTCTTTTTAATGTTCTGTGATAATTTATGATTTTAATGCTTTCTTGTTTTGTTCAGCACTTTGCGTTGCCTTGTGTAGGAATTGTGCTATACAAATAAATTTGCCTTGCCTTGCCTTTGACTTTAGATGATTATGGCTTTTTTCTTTCTTTCTTTTGTGACCCCTGTAGGGAAATGTGTCCTTTGCATAAAGACCCAACCTTCAAAGCCACTAGAGCTGCTGTTAGGAGAAGTGCTCTCTCTCTCTCTAGTACAGAGAGACTATAGAGAGACCAAAGAGGGGAACCAGGAAGAGAGACCAGAGAGAGAGACCAGAGAGAGACTAGAGAGAGGGACCAGAGATATAGATCACGGATAGACCAGAGAGAGGGACCAGAGAGAGAGACCAGAGAGAGACCAGAGGGCAGACCTATCAAAGCTGCGGAGGCGTGTCTTCTTGGTTTCGCTGAAGAAGTGGTGGAGCAGGGTCACCAGGCTGAAGCGAGCGTCTCTGAGAACGTTGAGCTCTCTGAAGGTGAAGGGGAAGAGAAGCTGGATGTCCCTTGCCGCTCTGCCCTCAGCCCAGTCCAGGCAGAACTTCTGGGTCAGCAGGCTTTTCCCCGCCCCCGCCTCACCCTGGGTCATCACAGTCCTGGTGCTGCTGCGTGGGTCAAACAGCAGGGGGAGCGGAATGCTTTTGGAGTCCTCAGAGTGGGGCTCGGTGACGTGGAGGTCGGTGTAGACGTCCCGTAGGGGGGAGGACCTGCCGGCTTTGGCGATGCCCTCGTACACACGGCCACACCGGCGCTTCAGGCTGCTCTTGAGTTTGATCCGGCAGACTTCGGGATAGTGGATCTCTGGGGAAGTCCAGGACAAGTACACAGTGTAACTCATGTGATTACATTTGCCCCATTTCCACCGGCCCTATTCTACTCGACTCTACCGAGATTGCTAACTTCTTTATCGTGCTAACATCCGAGATTATACTCTTAATTCTTGGGTCTTTATTATGCTAATGTTGGAGATTTTAGAGCTTATCATACTAAAACTAGAGATTTTTCATTGGCTTATTTACTATGTTAAAGTTTGCAATTTCATATTACTTAAAGGATTTTATACTTCCGGGTGGATCATCAAGACTATGGGTCCTCCATTGTCAGTCATTCTGGTGCTACGTGGTCATCAAATAAGACCAGAGAGTTTTGTTCAAAAAGTGGAGAGAGCGGTTCTTTCTAAAATTGAAACCTCTAATTCACATGATTCTCTTGATCCTGTCTGGTAGATTCACAGCAGTCTTACGGTCGTGCAGTTGTTGGGCCAGCGCCTCTTGGCCCATGGCTCGCAGGAAGTACTGTGAGATCTTCAGCATGGCCTCACTGCTCCTCTGCTTCTGCTCGTCCCCGTCTTGCAGGTGCACGGGGGCGCCCTCATCCAGGACGTCGCAGAACCTCTGCAGCTCGGCCCGCGCGAACGAGACCACCTGCTCTTCCAGCCGCTGAACACAGACAAACGACAGCATTGACATGTACTCTGGTGGGAGTGGGATTTCAGATTTGTACTCGAGTTACAGGGTTGACTTTAGTTTTTGGTCTACCTCAAATATTTGTGCCTTGTCTGCTCTGCGTTGTGGAGGACAGGGATCTTTTACTCTGTGGAAGAAAGACTTTAAGAATTACATGAACTACAAATCCCACCCTAAATTCACTGCTTTTTACCCCATTCTGCTGCTATATCCTAACTTTGTTGTAATGATGTGAGTTGAAGGGAATGGTGACAATTAATTTAACTTTGTTCGATAAAGAATTTATTTTAATAGGTGTGGTTTTTCCATAGCGAGTAGATTGGACTCTTGCCTCTTGGCTCTGTCTTCCTACCACAACAGCGCCCCCCACAGTCCGACTTCTTCATGACAGTATCCCAGGTCTGTAAGAGTAAAACAGCCCCCTCGTCCCGGTTTATAGTCTTGGGTTTCACTATTTCTATTGCCTTTTGGATCCAGCTTTGTGTTTTATGTTCCCAGCCCCTATGATAGTTGGTTCTCTCTCTTTCTCTGAGGAAGTCCAATTTGCCAGCTACGAAAAAACACCCTGGTCTTAAAACAAAATCCTCTGGGAGATTTCCTCTGTTCACAATCCGGAATTACCTCTGCAAGTGAAACGATGGTTTCCCAAATACAGCCTCCCTCTTACCTCTGTTGGGACGTTCCAGCCGTCGCCAGTCTCTCAAAGGAATCTCTGGAGCTCTGGTGGCTGATGGTGGAGTCCCAGATGGGCAAAGATCTGGGCCGGTCCTCTCTCCTTCTGGTTCTAGGACACAGGCCCAAACATGAGCTTACAGTATGTCACTGCATCTCTCCTCTGGACTTTTCAACTGTCACCAACCGTTTGAAATCTGTCACTATGTCTTTGGAGTCGTTGCTTCGGTGAGTCTCAAACCTTTCACCTCCTCTGGAATTAAGCAAAGTAAATAGTATTGATTTAATTCAATCTTATAAATACTTTTCTGTAAGACCTTGGGGCCACATAAACACTGAAAGACATAGCAACAGAAGTCCATGTATTCCCTCAATAACCCTCATAAGTCGTTCAGTTTAAGTGTAATTTCAAGATAGAAATGTTAAGACTATCCTTCTGGGGACAGATCACCAGCCTCAAGATATTTTGGATCCAGTTTTCTTTCCAGGGAATGGATTTCATATGACATTGTTTTGTGACTTGGTTAATGATAGGGTCAAAGTCTGGTTTGCGTTTGTCAACCTGATTGTCATTCATGGTTTCCTCCCAAACAAAGCTTCTTACCTCTGTTGGGACGTTCCATCCGTCTCCAGTCTCTCTAAGGAGTCCCTGGAGTGATGGCTCATGATGGAGTCCCAGACGGGCAAAGATCTGGGCCGGTCCTCTTTCACCAACCGTTTGAAATCTGTCATTATGTCTTTGGAGTCGTTGCTTCGGTGAGTCTCAAACCTTTCGCCTCCTCTGAAATAAAGTAAAGTAAACATCATTCATTTCATTCAATCTTATATTAACATTTCTGCAAGACCTTGGGACCACATAAACACTGATAGACATGGTTAGCAATAGTGTTCCATGTATTCCTTCAGTTACCATCAGGAGTCATTTCATCAGGAGTTCATTTTAAGTGTAATCTAAAGTTAGAAATTTTCACCAGCTTCAAGATAATTTGATCCAGTTTTCTTTCCAGGGAATGGGTTACACATGACATTGTTTTGTAACTTGGTTGATGATAGGGTCAAAGTTTGGTTTGCGTTGGTCAGCCTGATTGTCATCCATGGTTTCTCAAAAGGCAGAGTAACTCGGTCCAAACAAGCCTCCTACCTCGCTCCATCCGTCTCCAGTCTCTCTGAGGAGTTCCTGGAGCTCTGGTGGCTCATGGTGGAGTCCCAAACAGGCAAAGATCTGGGCCTCTCTTCTCTCTTTCTGGTCCTGCAACATACAGTAAGTCCAATCCTGAGCTCATTTCACTGCGTTTCTTCTCTAGACTTATTATACCGTTTAAAATCTATCAATATGTCTTTGGAGTCGTTGCTTCCCTGAGTCTTAAACCTTTCACCCCCTCTGAAATGAAACAAAGTAATCAGTATCACATTCAGTAGTAGAACTTTGCCACCTACACAGCCTCCCTCTTACCTCTGTTGGGACGTTCCAGCCGTCGCCAGTCTCTCAAAGGAATCTCTGGAGCTCTGGTAGCTGATGGTGGAGTCCCAGACGGGCAAAGATCTGGGCCGCTCCTCTCTCCTTCTGGTCCTGGGACACAGATCCAAACATGAGCTCATGTCACTGCATTTCTCCTCTTGACTTTTCAACTGTCACCAACCGTTTGAAATCTATCAATATGTCTTTGGAGTTGTTGCTTCGCTGAGTCTCAATCATTTTGCCTCCTCTGAAATGAAAGCAAAGTATTCAGCCTCCTTCAACCGTGTCTTGAGGCTATTACTTTCAGTGAAATATTTTTTGAAGTCCAACATTTATGAATAAAGACCCTGGATATACAAAGTTACAGCAGATACAGACAAACCAATCGTCCATACTCTTCATAGTTCCATCTAAAAGGTACTGAAACGCCTCTAGCAGGATATGAAAGTCCTACAGAGTGTGATGTGTTTGTCTGTGATAAAGATTGACGATTTCACCATTCCTACAGATTTAAGCACAGTTCTGCACCAAGCTTTGATTCATGCAGCAACCCTCCTCCTCCCCGTCCCCACCTTGCCAGCCAGACCAGCTCTTAAACCCTTCTGCTTAGCACCATCAGGTTCGAGGCCCCTGGGACATTTCCCCCTCTGCATTTGTCACAGTGCTCTCTCTGCTGGGGTCTATAAGGCTTAAGAACCAGATTATATTCACGTCTCTCGTACATACAAACTCGTACCTGGGACCTCTTGGCTCCGGATCCATTTTCGGCACAAGAAAAAACCCACAGTCCTCAAGCTGCAGAGATCAGAGAAACAAGAGTTGGCTCGTTGTCTTTTTTATAATAGCAGAGGTAAAGGTGCACTTTATTGGAGGTGGAGTTACTGTATATAGTTTCCTTACTGTCAATCCTCAAGAATTCACCCCTGGACCAGGAAGACAAGCAGGTTTTTAGCAGCTTTGTAATCTATAATCTGGGGACAAAGGTTGTGTTTCATAAAAGTCCAAGTGAAACAGTCCTATCCTTTCATTTTGTTATTGTAAAATTCCACTGTTATTGTAAAAAATCTAAATATGTTTTTTTCCCAATGGTGCTTTGGCAAGAGCTCTGGTGTGTTCTTGCGCTGTTTTTCCAATGTGGTTATACTGCAAATGGGGGGTCCTGGGCTCTCTGTGGGGGACAGGAGAGGATCTGCCCCGGAGAGATCTCTATACATCTGAGTGCTTCAATGTATAGAGACATTTTCTATTTCTGAGTCCTAGTGGCTTCAGTAAACCAGTAAATATTGTTTTAATCCATTACATTGTACGGGAGACATTTAAGTCGCAGTGAAAAGATTATCTATAATATCATCTGTGTGAGTGATTTAAATGATCTTTTCAGTTCAAACACATGATACAACATAATAAATTGCAAACAAAAGAGACAGAAGCAGCTGATTTGAGCCTGTCCCATTCCACACCATCAGTTTAACCAGCGTTTTAACTTTCTGTGTGGTATATCATAATTAACAAACATACACAAAACACTTTTCATATTCTTTAAATCTTCGGTTAATTAATTCCAGTTCCAACATTTAAGACCAGAAAGGATTTAAAGCTGAACCCAGAAGAGCCGAGAGCTGGAGGAAGGAGAACTTACCGCAGCGAGTGTCTGGAAAGAATGCTCTGATAACGGCCGTCTAATGCCAGTAAAGTCATAAAAGTATATATAACTGTAACAAGGCCGTATAACACAATAAGAGGGCAGAGCAGATTCAGGGAAATAATACTTCAACAGACTAAATTATTTTTATTGCCAATGTATTGTATGTGACTGGAATTTGCTTTTGGACTTCCTCGTGAAGTAGAGGTGAAATCACATTAATTAAAGTAACACACACACACACACACACACACGCACACACACACACACACATGGGTATCACAGGCTCTAGTTCTCACAGTCAGGACACAGTGACATCTGGAAAAGCTCCAGGCAGGACACCCCCCTCTCCTGCCACAACCACATCAAAGAGGAGACAACCTGGATGGACAACCCCACACACACACAGAAAATAGTGTAGTGTATTCTGTAAATCATCATAGACAGAGACAAGTGAGACATTCCTTGACCTTTTTCATTATTTAACAACAATGTCAAACGTTTAGGATGACTCCAGCCTGAATCCCAATGAATATAGAATTAAAAACAGTGCCAACGTGTTTAAACTTTAGAGTCACTGTGGCCTCTGGGACTTATCTCTGTTTGTGATGGTCGTTCCCGCAGCTGCCAGCAGGGGGAGCCAGCCTCTGCTCACGGCCTCAAGTACAACAGACCTGTGCAGGAGTGGACAAGTGCTAAAGTGCTACTGCTACTGCTACTGCTAATACTACTACTACTACTGTTACTACTACTACTACTACTACTACTACTACTACTACTACTGCTGCTACTGCTGCTACTTCTGCTACTACTGCTGTTACTGCTACTACTACTACTACTACTACTGCTACTACTACTACTACTACTACTACCACTACTACTGCTACTGCTACTACTACTACTGCTACTACTGCTACTGCTACTGCTACTGCTGCTACTACTACTACTACTACTACTACTACTACTACTTCTACTGCTACTGCTACTACTGCTACTACTACTACTACTGCTATGCTACTACTACTACAGCTACTGCTACTGCTACTACTGCAACTACTATACTACTGATACTACTACTACTACTACTACAGCTACTGCTACTGCAACTACTACTACTACTACTGCTATACTACTATTGCTACTACTACTACAGCTACTGCTACTGCTACTACTGCAACTGCTATACTACTACTGCTACTACTACTACTACTACTACTACAGCTACTGCTACTACTACTGCTACTGCTACTACTACTACTACTACTACTGCTACTACTACTACTACTAGTACTGCTACTGCTATTGCTGCTACTGCTACTACTGATCCATTATGTTAGTATTAGATAGCAATATGGCCTACGTGCAGGACTGTACAAGGACTCTACAAGGACTCCATGTTATGACTATGATGTGACTGTCTCTTTGTGACACGTATGTCTTTCGATGTGTGACGTGACAATGACTATATAAACTGTGTACTGCCTTTATTCTGTCTGGGGAGAAGAAACAGTAAACCAGTGGAACTTGAGAGAAACTTAAATAAACTTCCAGAGTTTGGCACACCACGATCCGTCTCTGTCTGCTTAAATCCTAACAGATTTGGTGGAGAATGCGCGGCTCGGTTTGTGCCATTCTCTGGATTGTTTTGAGGGAGCTTGCTCTGTTTCTTTTCCTCTGCGTGAGAGATTGGCATGCTGTGTCTGGGAGCGGGGATTCCAGCAGGCTGGAAGAGCTGTTCCTGGATGCTTCTTGTCGCTTCTGTCACTTTTGTTTTTTAAATTGAAGATTCCGACGCGGAAAAGAGTTGGCAGACCTCTCGGACAGTCCTTGGAACCGGTTTGACAAGAATAAGGTAAGCAGACACCTTTTTTAATATGTAAAGTTTGCATAATTGGATATTAGCTAAATTTTGGTGTGTTTTTTGGGGTCTGTCAAACTCTCTAAATTGTATTTTGAAGAAGTCTCGGGGTTAAAGTCCCTTTGAGCCTCGGGGTTAAAGTCCCTTTGAGAAAGTCTCGGGGTTAAAGTCCCTTTGAGCCTCGGGGTTAAAGTCCCTTTGAGAAAGTCTCGGGGGTTAAAGTCCCTTTGAGCCTCGGGGTTAAAGTCCCTTTGAGAAAGTCTCGGGGTTAAAGTCCCTTTGAGAAAAGCCTCGGGGTTAAAGTCCCTTTGAGAAGAAGCTTCAGGGTTAAAGTCCCTTTGAGAGAAACCATGGTGAATTAAAAGTAATTATAAAAAGGGAAACGTTAAACACTAAAGAGTGCCTTTTGTTACTAGTGTGGAAAGTGATCACTTCTAGATTTGGATGACAAAAGTATAAAGAACAACATCAGTTATATTCGCTTAAAAAAGTAATCTTGAAAGTTATTCTTCTGTATCTTTTTGCCTGTGTGTGTGCGTCGCTCTATCTGCTGCCGTTGTCAGGGAAACGGCCCCCTCCTTCGCTGCTCTGGCTGTGAATCTGAAGCAAAGCTACTGCTTTAGGAATTTGGCTTTTCATAGTTGTTATTCCGTTAAATTTGCTAAATTTGCCATTGAACATTGTGTTAGACACAGTTAAACGTTTTTAAACACCATTAGGGAATAGAAGTTTTGAATTAGTATGTTTTTGAAACCCAAAGATTAGTACAAAAAGCTTTGCTTTTCTTTTTAAATCTGCTGCTTATTTTGTGAGTCCATTATTGTATCTCTGATATATTTCATAGCTGTTTGTGAGAATGTTTTCATGTATTTTTTATTTTAGTTACAAAAGCCGTTTTTCAAACATTTAAATTAGAACCTGTGTTAAAAGTGATTATTGATTATAGACTTCGTCTAAAAAGAAAGAGGGAATTAAGCTGTAAAAGTATTATTAAGTTAAACTACCCAATTCACCCAATTCACATTCAAGTGGTGACTTTTGTTTTTGTTTTGACTACACGCCTGACCTTGTTGCTGCTGCTGATGCCACAGCAGAGGAGACTGGTCTAAAATGTGCTCCAATTCATACTGACTTCATTTGAAAAATGCTGCAATTATTTTAAATTAGTAAAATATATGCTGAGATAAATGCATAGATAATTAATCACACAGTACAAAAGTATATAATACATAGTTTAAAGTTTAAAAAGGTTTTTTTGAGATTTGAGTCTTGTTTTTTATTAAGAGAGTTTCTGGTTTTAAAAGTGTCATCATTAGTAAGAGAATAAGTAATCTTTATTTATATAGCGCATGTGGGAAAGCCAAGAGCGCTTCAAAATTGTTTAGACTTCAGGGAGAAAAACAATCTCATTCACAATCTCTGTTGTTTTTAATTTGACTATAAGGTTGTTTTCCAGAACCAAGAGCACACACTGTACAGGGTCACTGGACTGCTGGACACTGGACAGCGCAAAGCCCACCCAGCCACAGGTCACAGATCAAAGAGCAAAGGGAAATGCCACCTCCTTGCCCCTCCCCCCACTACAGAAGTAAGTGGGAGTGAGACCGGGGCCATGAAAGAGAGGTATCTGGAGACGTGATGGTGGAGCATCAGGGAGAGACCTGAATGAGAGTTGAGAGTGTGTCCAGTTGGTTTGCATCACCACAGTGTGACCTTTGACACCTGCAGGTGGTTCGTGGAGTCTTGAGAAACAACCCCAAAATTCACATACACACACATACACACACATTCACATTTACATATAGATACATGAAAAAGCAGAACATGAAAAAAAAGCATTTTAAAAGTTTACTCCAATGTAAACACATATTTTTAATTGTCTATCACTTGAATCTTTAGTTGAATCAGTATTTTTTGAGACCAGAAATGTTCATTTGAATTCTATATTGTCATGGACATAATTGACCTCTGTCCTGACACTTTTGATTTGTTGATTTTGTACTGTGTAAAGTAATTACATTGATGAGGATTAGATCTGATAAAAACACAAATTAGAGAAGTAAACTGCGCTTGCTTTTTGTCTGAGAGACATTAGCAACAGCATGAATAGAAATTGTGTTAAAGTAGAATCAAAGTGACTTAACCATAGAAAGTAACTATTGCATAACAAGCTGTGTACAGGAACTGAGACACTGCACCATTGACCAGAAGTGCATCGCAAAGAGCAACCCAAGTGACCTGATGTACCTGGAGTGACCAGAATGAATCTGGAGAGACCAAAACCATGGCTTGGACCCTACTGATGTCCAAGATGACATCTCTCGAAATATGACCTGACCTGATGACGACTGAGACTCACCCTCAGAGGACCCTGAGGACCTGAGGATCTGAGAGAGAGAAAACTGGGGAGTGATGTTTATATTATTGAAATAATGCCATTGATGAGTGCTAAATGAGAGAGATACTCATGATTCTTTCTTTTGTTTGTGTTTGTCCCTAGCTTCTGGACATCTGATGATCTATTGGACACAGCCTTTTGCAGAACAAGAACCAGCCAATGAAAACGTCTATTGCTGATGCTCTTGCTACAACCAGAAACTGTGACAAATGCAATATACATGTTAAGTATTCAGACATCTGACAGACAAAAACTTTGAAAATGATAAAGTATAAGTATTGTAGCGTTTTAGTAGATGTTAAATAGTAGTAAAAAAGTAGAATTGTCCTTTCTTTGTTTTTCATAAACACATTTCCACATAAGAGTTAAAATAGTACCCTACAATGTTATCCTTCTGATAGAGCAGATATAATATTAGAATCAGAGTTATGTTACAGCCATTGAAAGTGACAGAAGTCACAAATTAGGAATATGCCTTTGCTCAAGCTGCAACCGAGCTTTGGAGTCACAATAGTGTAAAAATAGAGAAATAGATAAAAGCATCAACCATAGATGCTTTCAAAAATAGAGATTATTTCTAGCCAGTGCTAATATCAAATGGTAAAGGGACCATTTCACAAGCATTTACTTCAAAAGTAGATCAAGTTAATTACAGTTTATGTACAGTTTTATTAGATACTTGCCAAATTCACTTGTGTTCACACATGAGTGAATGTTGACTATGCAAAAGGTTCATGAGTGTAGCCTAGATTAATGTAGCTTAGATCAATGAGATAGATTACAACCAACAGAGATTTAAAAGCATTTTGATGCATTTGGGTATAGCACAAAAACAGTATAGTAGATATTTAGATATTGAGAAGTTTCCAACACAAACACCATTGTAGAATAACTGACCCCAACCCCAAACCTGCTCAAATAGATTAGCTCTTGTAAGGATAATACTAATTTGATTAATGATGTTCATTCATCCCAAATGCCTGACAATAATATCTTTAGATAATAAAAAGTAATAAATCACTGACCACTATAGAAGTGTAAATGTTGACCATTTGCCTTACTGTGTTCACAGTTTTATTCCTGAGAATGAGAATAGAGATGGAGCAAAATCCCACTGATAATAAGCCACTGATAATGAGAGTATAAAACCACAGAGAGATTTGTTAGATTAAAATGTATGTTTAAAAATTTGGCTCAATAGAAGCAAATATGCAAACATATTTGTGAATAGATTAGAATAGTTTTAAACTATAGTGAAAGTAAAGTACACAGTCTAAGATTGAAAAGTGAAAATAATACAGTGAAGTGAAGTGTAAACAATCAGCATTAGAATAAAAGTATAGAGTAATAAAAGTGAAATTAGCTTCTAATTTGAGACTCAGCTCGTTTTTGTCTGTGTTTTGACTGAATCTGCTGAGTTCTTGTGTGTCCAATAGTTTTTGTTTGTTTTTATTTTTGTTTGTTTTTATTTTTGATTGGTTTTTTGTTTGTTTATTTACTTTATTTTTGTTTGTTTATTTTTTCCCAGGATAGAGGATAAAATCCACTGATATTGATTTGATGATTATGAGTTTAATGCATACATTTTCTTTGTTTTTAATAATTTTTTGAAGTTTTTTTTGGAATTTTTTCTTCTTTTTCCACTTTATTGATTGATCGATTTGAGTGATCACATGTGATTATGTGATCAAAGGGGAGGGTGTTAGTATTAGATAGCAATATGGCCTACGTGCAGGACTGTACAAGGACTCTACAAGGACTCCATGTTATGACTATGATGTGACTGTCTCTTTGTGACACGTATGTCTTTCGATGTGTGACGTGACAATGACTATATAAACTGTGTACTGCCTTTATTCTGTCTGGGGAGAAGAAACAGAGTAAACCAGTGGAACTTGAGAGAAACTTAAATAAACTTCCAGAGTTTGGCACACCACGATCCGTCTCTGTCTGCCTAAATCCTAACAATTACATGATCAATATGTTTAATTTGTTGTACATGTTTTGTTTTTGGGGCCTATAAACTAATGCAGCTTCCAGAGTTCCCTTTTACAAAACACCAACTCTGTTATAAATGTGTGTAAATTATATGACTAAGTTTTGTAAATAAAGAATTGAATTGTTTATCCAATTCCACAAAAAGCGCTATTATTCAGATTTCCACAACACGTTCTGCCCCTGCTGCGTTTAGACATTCTTCTACGTCAAATAAAACCGTGTTGGAAAGACCAGTAAACCACAGTGAACTTAGAGGGAAATATGCGAGTTGGCAGGCGCATGCGCAGATGCGTTTTTTCACAATTTTCTTGTGGGTGGGACCACTCGCGGCCATTTTGGATAGCTCCAGTAGAGCACTTTTTTGGCCCATTAGTTAGAAGGGCGGAGATAGGCGTGACTCTGTCCGTTAATATATACAGTCTATGGTTCTGCTACAGGCTTGTGACAGAGGACCAGTGGGACCAGAGGGATCAGTGGGACCAGTGTGAAGCTCTACCTGAGCGTATGCTTGCATCGTCTCGAGATCTTCTTGTGCCGTAAAGAGGCAGAACTCTGTGCGGGTCATGTCATCAGACAGGGTCCCTCCTGGGGCTGAACGGGACAAACACAAAACCACAGTCCACAGGGAATTTTTTTTTTTAAAGAACCACTTAAGTAAATAAAACCCCCCAAGCTACACTGCTCTTACTACGTCATGTAATTATAAGGTTTATGAGATAAGATGAGAATTTGATAGATTAAAAGGAAATCTCTTCCATTATTGGTGTTGGCAAATATCAATTCAGCAGAACAAACATTGCACCTATAATAAATGGGGAGCATTGGCCTTTCAGCCGGAAGGTTGTGGGTTTGAGCCCACCATAAGACCTTCTCCACCGACTCCCACTGATGTCTGCAGTTGTTGCGTCCTTGGCAAGACACTTCACCCCCATTGCCTAGAATGAGTCTAGTGTGTGTGTGAATGGTTGGTGGTGCTGGGAGGGGCTGATGGCACAAACTGGTTGCCTCGCTACCGTCAGTGTGCCCTAGGGCAGCTGTGGCTTTAGTAGTAGTTTATCACCACCGTGTATAGAGTGAATAATATGTGAAGCATCTTTGAGTGTCCAAAAAAGCACTATATAAAAACAATGCATTATTATTAATATTATTATAAAAAAATGCTAATATCTCAGAACATTAAGTCAATATAAAGCTCTTAAATTTGACCCCATCATATTCATGTAAGGCTGAGACGTGTCAGAGGTGACGAATGCAGACTGATACTGACCCAGCATGCCGCCGGCCACCAGGATGTCGAACAGCGTCTCTGCATACCGACGGTAGTCAAGTTTGGCACCAGATGCATCAAGGAACTTCGCAACCGCCTCCAAATCAGTGCCAGTCTGGTTCAAACCTTGTACGATACTTTCTTGAAACTGAGTAGGGTCAAACCTCTCCTTTTCATCTGCAGAGACAGAGCGGGTTATTTCACAGAGACAGAGACAGAGCAAGAGGCAGAGAGAGAGAGAAACAGAGCAAGAGAGGGAGAGAGAAAGAGAGGCATAGAGCAAGAGCGAGAGAGAGGAGAACAAGCAACTAACCTCTTTTCCTCGTTTTGAAACGCTGGCCTGTTAGCGTCGGCTTTTGCTGCTTTTGATTATTCATAAAAGACACCCTACAAAACAGACAGCAGTCAGTGTCGTCTCAGAGACTACAGCGGTGGACTTAGTACTAACAGTTTAGACAACACTTAAATAAAGTACAAGTAATTAATAAGTAACCCTATCATGGAAATAACATCTACTTTATGCATTGCTGAATACAGGGGGCAGCAGTCAGACTTCCCTCTCCAAAACACACTTCCTCCTGCTCATCTGGGGGAATCCTGAGGTGCTACCAGACCAGCTGAGAAAATAAATATTGATCCCCAAACTACACTGTTCCATTCATGATTTATCAAATGGTGGATAGTGTCGATTACGACTGATTGTGATAAGATAAAACATAAATAGAGTGGTTCAGTGGCATTTCGATTAAAATTGTGATACGGGGAAAATGTTGGATGCTCGCCCTCTTCACACCTTCAGTTTTACACACAAAAAATACTATGACACATTAACTCACATGTGTATTATTAGCAAGAGTATAATACGGTGTTGGGACCAGAGCTGTCAGAGCAGCTCTGGTCCCAACACCGGCCTCACCACGCGTTCTCCCGGGGACGGCTGCTACAACGGCCCGCTCCATGTGAGCCTCACACCGGCAGTGACAGCGGAGGACAGAGCCACAATCACGGCTGTCACACATTTCACACCGTGGGACCGTGGGACTTAAATGCTAACCAGCTGCTTACTCATAACAATCCATGCTAACATGCTAACCCTTGCTAATGGGCTAACATGCTAACATGCTGAGCTCGCCGCGTCCATGACAGACGGGAGGCGTCAAACGGGACTTTACCCAGGAAACAGGGCTTTAGGGGAGCAGGCAGGGGCCCCCCAACTCTGTGGGCTTTTGTACTGACCGTAAAGAAGCAGATAAGCGTCGGTGAAGCTCGGCAGAGAGAGTGGAGTGTGATGAAGCCGACTGAAGCGAACACAAAAAGAACCAGGGCCTAGAGCACCACGCATGCGCCGTGCAGCTCTGTTTCCCAAACCGTGGTTCGTGCACAAAATTAAACTCATTTTATGACACATAATAATTATTGGCATTTAATTTTTGATAGATGTACTCTCCACAAATTCTATCTGTAAATACAGCGGCAATGTGGGTGGGCATACTGGGCAATTGCTCAGGGCCCTAAATCTAGAACCCAAAATACTATGGTCATTTCATAACAGTTAAGTTTTGCTTTGTTTGTCCCCATGGGGAAATTTGTCCTCT